AATGTAATTATAATATATCCAATTGTCCATAACATTTTATTAGTTTTTAAAACTTTACATTTTGAGGTAATTTCACATTTAAAGAAGAGTTACAAATATATTACTGGGTTGTTTGCCATTTAGCCAAACTTCTACTTTAAAATTTAACTCACTGTGGTACAATTTTCAAAAGAAGGAGTTAATATTGATACAATCCCATGAATTCAATCACAGACCTCACTTTAACTATCAGTGCCCCACTAGCATCCTGTTGTGTAGCCCAGAGGTCTAACCCAGGACCCACCATGCCCTTTCCTTGCTAATTATCTATGCACGACTCAGTCTACATCCCTTGTGCAGTTTCTGTCTTCAATCATTTTGATCCTTTGGTAGGTTGTACCTCAGTTTGAATTTGCCTGATATTTTTCATGATTAAATGAAGGTTCTGCATTTTTTTGTAGAATACAAAAATATTTTTAAAAACCTGATGTGCTTGTCTCTCTGCACCATGGCGGGGGTACATGATATCAGTATGCATTGTTGTTGGCAATGTTAACCGTGGTTTTTTGGTTATTATTTTCTACTTGTACAAGCATGGTATTGGTGGAGAGTGATTCTTTTAATCTTTGTATATGCCCAGCTTTGTTATGTTCTCCTCTTTCATTTGAGCCTCAGTCACTGTCACAGTTCTAGGTAGGACTGACCCCATCTTGTTCCTCCCACATTTGTTAATTGGAATTTTTCAATTCATTTCCCTGCATTTAATTTATCCAATGATCTATGATATCAGCACGAACTTCTAAATATCAGTGCTGTTTCTTCTGTTGCTCAGACTGTTTCACGTTGGGGCCATGAGAGTGTCTTCAGGTTTGACATTTCCCATAATTTGCTGAGTCCTCTTTTCTGTCAGACCACGCAATACCCAAATCCTTTCGTTCAGTCCTCAGGACCCACTGAGGTGACACTGCAGTCATTTTCACTGACATTTTGTCACTTGCTTGCTCTCTTAAGGGACAAAGCTGGCAAATAGGTGCACGTGTTAAAACATGCACACCGCTTTCTAAATTTCTCTATTATCTATCAATTATCTATCCATCACCTATCTATCTGATTTATTGTTACCTTCAATTTCAATTTGTCATGAAGGAACTCATGATTGCCTTTTCATTTTTAGTGACAATTTCTTTATCTAACAGTGAAAACCCATGTTCTTGTTATCTAAATTATAGTTATTTCCCTATTTCTAATACACACATAAGGCATTTCAGAATAGCCAACTCATAACCCTATGGAAAAACAGATTAACTCTTACAGCACATACTTTGCCTTAAGCCTGAGTATGTAGTCAAATTATGTACTTTTCAAGAGGTACACACATTATAACTTTTTTCCTAAGAAGTTCAGAAATAGTACAGAGATATGCAAATATAGTTGGTGTACAGTACCACACGAAGCTCCCTTCTGCAAATTCCCAAACGCTCATCTCTCCTAAAGGTAACTATTATTGCTTCACCACCACAGAGTAGTTTTTCACCTCTTACTGTTGTATGTGTGAGAAACATACGTATTAGTATTGCAAATGTAACTTTTTACATTTAAGCTTCTTTCAGTGTACTGAAATTTATTCATGAATACATTTTTTCATTGCTACAGATCATTTAAATAATACAATTTAATTCTCCACTATATTGTAATTAGGCTTTCAGATTATATTCACTTTGGAGTTTTAGGAATTAAGCTGCTGAGATTCTTTGTGTATTTGGGGGACACAAATACTTAAGAATTGCCCAGTTATAAGATAAATGTGTTAGGATTTAGTAGCTTGTGCCAATTTTTATAGTTTTGAAACACTGTTCTCTTCCATTAGCAATGCATATTATTTCACTTGCCTTTCATCCTTCTCAACTCTTGGTATTATCAGTTTTTTCTATAGTTTCAGTAAGTACGACCCATATATTTGCCTACTTTGCATTTGTTTCAAAGATGTTGATAATATTGCTACAGTTTTGGGCTGTTTGGAGAGTGTCATTTGTGAACTGCATGGCTAATTTATGAAACACTTCAAAAATTATATCTTTTGTATTTGATTTACAGAATTTTTTATATGTCAGGATATATGCATTTTATTTTGGAAATATTTTCTCTTTATATGTGTCATACATTTTCAAATTTTTAAGGTTCTTTTTGATTAACAGAAGTTTCTAATTCTAAGGAAATCAAATTTATCTACAACTTCTTTCAGGGTTACTCTTTGGCATGCTCCATATTCTCCTGACTTTGGCCATCGATATCTCTTATTATTTACTGTTAATTATACATCAGTTCTGTCAATCATTGAAAATAATTAACTTTTATCTTTGTCACTTTTCTCTGTGTAAGTTCACTTTCTAATTCAAGCATCTCCAGTAATAATATTTTAGTTTCCCCATGTTTTAAAATAATTTTGTTCATTTTCTCCTATATATTTTAGATGTAGAATTCATTGGTTTTCATCATTACTAGTATTATTTACATTCGCATACAGAGTGATTAGCGCATTTTCCAAATTTTGAGATGCATTTACTTTTGTTTTCAAATGTTGTCTAATATTCACTGGGATTTCCTCTGAGCCACGCTGAGCAGCATTATGTAGCTTAAATTTTGAAAATTTGGGAGAGTCTTCCTATCACTTCTTGTTCTTGAAGTCTATTTTAATTCATTATAATCAGAAAACATTTAAATAAGGTCAGTCCTTTGAGGTTAGTTTAATCAGGATATTTCCCTTTTGAAAAATATTTCACCAACACTTGAGAAATAAAGTGTGTGTGTGTGTGTGTGTGTGTGTGTGTGTGTCGTGTAGCCATTGAACGTAGTGTTAACTGTCAAGGAGAATAATTGTATCATTTAAATTTTCTGTGTTCTTACTGAATTTTTCCCTGTTTGGGCATAAATCATTGAGAACATGTCAACACCTCAAAATAAAATTATAGGTTTACCAAAGGCCTTTTAGTTATATCAACATATACTTTATATTTTTCTATATACTGTTACATAAATGCACAACTAGAAGTTACATATTTTATTATAAATTATCTCCATCTCTAGAATTCCATTTGTCATACAACCTACTTTGTGTGACATTTATATATATATATATATATATATATATATATATATATATTAAATATTTTAGATTTTCCAAGAAGTCTTTTTCCATCTTATTACTTTCAGTCGTCCTGAGCCCTGAAATGTGGGATTTTAATACAGGTCTGGTCCTCCTTGGTGAACCCCTACATTTAAATGTTTCTCCAAAGTTTAAGTCTATTGCAAGCTCGGCTGAACTATTCTTTTCTTTATACTATTTGTTTTTGCTTTCTAGTCTCTGATTTCTTCAAGAGGAATACTCACCAAAAAATCATGTTTATTTTTCCTAGCTACTGGTCTTCTGATGTTTCCTTGCCCCTATATTTTCAGATACTTTAATTCAAAATTGTAAATATTTTTACCCGTCTCCCCCCACCAATTGTTCTAAGGTAAAATAGTCTAAACCAAACTCGGGCTATTATTGATGGAAAATGTGACTTTTATTGCAAATTATAAAGAGAGTAGTCTAAATACTATCTTCCCATTAAAAGTAAATGTTTTCTGTGTGCTTCCCAATTTTTCCTGTTAATTTGATTTTTGATTGCTTTTTATTTTTTGTTTATATTATTTCTAAGTTCTTTAGATGTCTGGCTTTCTTCTTTTTTAACTAGCCTAATAAAAGGCTATATATTTTCTTTTTCTTTTTGGTACCAGGCTTTGAACTCATGACCTTGCACTTGCCAGTCAGGTGCTTATGCACTAAATCCCCAGCCATAAGGCTGCCCACCAGATGTAATTAGTGTAATCCACAAAAGAAGGAATGAAATATTTTTGGAAACATGTGAAGAAATTTACCTCCTAAATTCCATTTTGATTACATTTTTGACCCATGATATGTCCTAAAATGTGGTATGGCTTTCCCAGCCACATTTTATCATTTTTTTGGAGGGGAGGTTCTCTTTTTCTTTTTTACTAGTACCAGGGATCAAACTCACAACTGCTTGCTTGCAAGGCAGGTGCTTATGCCATTGAGCTAAATCCCCAGCCTATTTTGTCATTTTTTAAAATTTTATTTTATTGTAGGTAGAGAAAGCTACCTGGTTGATCTTAGGCATTGAAATCAGTTCATTTTGTCTGTTTTTATGAATTGGCATTTAACCAAATCCTGCAAATATGAAGAACATGCATGAAAAGAAATTCCTCTTCTTCAGTTCTGAGCATACTTTATGAAAGCAAATTAAGTCTCTTTTGCTAACCACGTTGTCCAAGTGCTTGCTGACTTTGGCTGACTTTGCTGCGGGTCTAGGAGGCAGTTTCCACAGTGCCCATCTAGGGAAGGTGGAACTCGATTTCCAGGAAGTTTTTTCCTTATGTGACTTCAGGTTACATTTGCCCAAGATGCAGTCAGCAGCCACTTTTTCTGAACACCTTTGAGGATCGGCATGGAAAGGTGTCCAGAGGACTGCAGTCTGTCCTCACTCTCTTCTAAATCCACTTGCTCCTGCCCAGCAGTAGACACAGAGCATGAGTGAAGTTGGCTGCACCTATGCAGCAGCAGTAGCTACAGAGAAACAATCCCTTTCCACACACCGCTTCTCAAGTGCCTTGTTCCAGCCCTGCATCAGCACCCTGGCACCACTGGCTGCCATGTGTCCACTCAGAGCAGTGCTCCTGGAGGCCTCGATGGTGTACTCTGACTTTCTATTCTTCAGGCCATTGCTCCCCAGATTTTCTACAATTTCCAAAGCCCAATTTCCCACAACAAACCTCTATTTCCCTTCTAATATTCATAGCAACTTTCCTTTGCTGATTAAATTCTACATTAAACTTCATTCTAGAGTACAGAAAACATTTAGCATGTGATGCATGCACCTTGACTTCTCACCCATCTGTAGGAAACACAGATGGGTGTTTGAAAATATTTTTCAAAACATATCTCACACAAATGAAACTTAGTATATTGGGAAGAAAAAATACATTTAATCTGATCTTTTTTAATAAGCAGAGACTCAACGTCTAGTGTTCTTAGACAATATGGTTTCAATAAATTTACATACCATAGGACTAAAGCATTTCTGCAAGTTTAGAAACCAGACTATGCATGCCTTGATATAATTCCCTAATAAGCTGGACTGATAAATTGTTTGCACTCAAGATTGTGATGCCTTAGTTTAGGCAATTTATCATTCAAGGAAGTTTCATCACCTCAAAAATTTAATGCTGGAGAGTTTAAAAGCTACTATCCCCCCAGGGGCTGTGTTTTTAGAGCTGGGAAGGGGTCTAGGGGCACACACTGCTAATAAGAGGTCTAGAGCGTCAGTGACTGTGAGTGGGACTGCTTTTTGAAAAGGTGGGACTGGAAAATCATTGGAAATTATTTCAACATGTTGTTTTCCTTCTTGCATCTTTCTGTTCATCCTCATTGTCTTCCAAAGCAGAACAAGCAAGAAACAGTAAGAACAACAGTAAGAACAACCTTTCCAATTTATCTGTGCCATCCAATTTCAGATAACAATCTACAACTGTTTATCAAATATGTAATTTCCTGAGCTCTGCTATGTATGTACATGTATTTTACTGTCTCTAAACAACAAAAAGAATTTTAAAAACTTTTTAAAACATTCAGCCTCTGAACAATTATATTGGCATAACTCTAAGCATAAATTGACTCTATGTGAAAATAGTTTAAAATTATTACTTTATTAAATGACTGAACCTAAACCTCATATTAAGGACATATTACTCAAATCAACTTTCTCTGCGTACCTGTATATCTCTCTTTCAAAAAAAAGGCAGAAGAAAGAAATCAAAATCAGAGCAAACTTAATTTCTAGGTCATTTTCTAGGTCAACTCAAAAACTTTGGAAACATATCTCACACAAATGAAACTATACTGTATATACTTTTTTTTGTCACTTTCCTCAATTTTACATAACACTTAAATAACTATCATAATTAAATTATTATTCATGAAAGTTGAGTAGGAAAATCTGCCTAGAAAAGGAGTAACACAATAGTTAACAGTGATTTCTTGTGGAAGATTTCTGAGCTTGGGCAATGGCGTTTCTTGCAATGTTTTTCTTAATAATATCCTTCAATTGCATCATAATTATCACCAGTAAAAACAAGCATGAAAACCCTTCTCTTAAAACATTAGATTCCAAATTGAACAAACAGTACAAATTCTTTACCCTCAATCGGAGTCTGTCAATGGAGAACCATGGTTCCTACTAATCATGTCTGAAACTACAAAATCACCGGGGAAGCAACGTTTTGTTTTGACCCCTCCTACTTCTCAGTTTGAGATTCCTCTAGCATCTCTCTCACCTCACTAGTGGCTAGTGCAGGAGATCTCACTTTGCTCATACACAGTTTGTACTGACCCAGCATAGAGCTTCTCTTTCTCTTTAATCTTCCTCTTCACTCCCATAGATTGCTTTAGCTTGGCTCAAAGAAGGCCATTAAAGCCACATCCTGAGATGCAGCAGGATGAAGACGGCATTTTATTTCATTACAACAGTGCCTTCTGGATGGAATTGCCTCTCTAGAATGATCCAGAAGTTTCTGCTTCCTGTATACAAACCAAGTCGATGAACACAAGGAAAAGAGAAGATTATTTGAAAAAAGTTATGTGCTCTTTTGGTTTGGATATCTAAAATTTTGTCACACAAGACCTCAAATATCCCTTGGAACATTTCTGGGAAAGCAAACAAACAAATCAACAAAACGTGGTTTTAATGGGAGGTAAAAACAATTGTTAGTTACTGTTAGTAACTGGTGTTTGAGGATCAAATGCTCTTAATTTAGACTTCCTGCAATAATCAGTGAGTTTTATTAGAGGACACAATCTATCTCAATAAATTTGGCTCCTGATTTGGGTTGAAATACTTTCTAATGTCAGTGTTTTGCTGTATAATCCACTAAGCATGGAGAAGTGCAACAGGAAATCATAAGGTGAATACAGACTTGGTCAAGAACATCCTAAGAGGATAGTACCAATCAATCATAAGAATTACCTATTTTTCTTATAAATTATTTTCACTTTTGCTAGTTTCTCTACATGGTGTAGAAATCCAACAATTAGTTTGTTTTAAATTGCAGTGTACATATAACTCCAAGTTAAATTTGTTTTTATTTTACATTGTAGTTCTATAAATACCTTTAAACCATACAAATTAATGCCTATGCCCTCAAAACACAAGTTTTCTATTATTTCTTGTATTTATCAGCACTGAGGAAGGAAACAGAATGAGCTGTGCACTGTGTGTGACATTGTCATCATGCTGAGTTTGATCCTGCAGGCCAGTGAGCCTCCATCGAGGCTTAGCTTGTGATAACTGACAATGAGGAACACATCACTTCTGCATATGAAATCCTACTTCTATGTGTTCATTTCATGTAGAAAAATGTTCATAAAATCCAACCAGTAGTTGATAAATCAGAATTAGAAATACTGGGGTAACTGTTTCATAGCTTTAGAAAATAAATCACTCTTAGTTCTAAGTATTTAATATTGATCAGTAATTAGTACTATGTGTCACATATTAAATATCAGCAGTCCTATAAAATTTATTAGTATTGTATAAAGAAATTCCAGTTTAAAAAATAACATCATAAAGTTTTCTTTGGATGTGTATGATAAGAGAACAGTATTCCTTTGGAATTAAATTCCAATTTGAAACTTGACACTCAAACAATATATAATTGGATTGTATCTCTCACTCTAGTGGAATTTATATATATACACATATATAAATATATATTTATATATAGGATATATATTATATATATATGAAACAGGAATGAGAATTGTTGTGCATATGTGTAAGCCTAAATTTGAGAGGAATAATTCAATAAATATATTTTTCAGTTAACAATCAAGTTTATCACCTTTTCCTTACTTGGCTGAATTTTTAGTGTTAAATTCTACAGAAATGTCTACACTGCATTTCTCTAATATTTGGCATGTTGCAGATTATAAAATTAACAGTCAACACTATCATTTCATACATGTTAAAGGTATAGGAAGAAGGCACTGAATATTATATAAGATGCACCAATATGAAAATTTTGTAAACTTATTCAAAGACTTGGGATTTCTTCAAAGCAAAGAGGTAACATTTTTATGCACAGTTGCTATCTAACTTATACACAGAGTGCTCAGGAAGGCTTCATGATATAAAATAGGCAACATAGGAAAAACCATAATTTTCAAAAACTCAACCACTTATTGAAATGAATAAATTAATCAGTATGTACCACTTCTTTATAATACTTATCATTTGCTTGAAGACTATTTGCCACAAATCTTGAAAATACTGTTACCAACACTCTACCTTTAACAGCCATAATGTTACTTTTATGTTGAAACTCAAACATTTGGGCTTTTGGAGAAAAAATTATGGTTACTGCATGTGCTCAGAAAGAGCATCTGGGATTCTAATGACAGCTTAACTCAGACCACACAATTTCAGGAATAAACTCCTGCTCTGATGTTTATTGAACACTGCTGAATGTGTGAGTTTTCTTATGTTATGGTTCTGATTTTTCATTTGCATAATTTAAAATGCCAGGATTTATGTAACTCAGAAGGCCTCTTTGCTCTGCTTCTTGGAATATTTTTCTTTTTTTGATGTGAGGGAGTTAAAAGCAACACAATAAAAGACCATAAAAATGTGCAGATGTACTGGAAAGTGGAGACACAGCCCAGGCCTGCGTTTCCCCCTGAGCTCATCTGCTCTGTGATTTGTGTGTTCTGATGCTTCGTGCACCCTAAACCCCCATCCAGAGCACCGCGGGAGACAGTATCTGGGAAGGGACTGGCGCATGGTATGGACAGTGGTACTCCTCCAACACCTGGCCTTTTTAAAGTACATAAAAACCGTGAGAGAAAACAAAAAGAAAAGGTAAATGGACACGGTTCCTCTGGCCTCTGGTCCTAACCCCAGAGAAAAAGTGGAGAAACAACCAGCTGCTCCCCCGCTACGCTGATTAAATCGTGGATTTAGCCAGCTGCATTTTGTTCTCCTCGATCATGACATGCTTGGCAAATTCATTAGGATTAAGACCCAGTTTTTCTTTCAGTTTGTTGAGTTCAAAGTCATGAAGAATCCTGACAGTCATTAACTTTTCCCGTTTGATTCGGTCCACAACATCTTTCGGGACATCAGGTATCATCCAGGCCAACAAAAACTTCACCAGAAACACAATGTGCTACAGGGAAGAAAAAGGAAAAGCAGAGACACTGTTAGACTTGTCAAAGTCTTCAACAAGAAGTGCTTACAAATCTTTTCACTCCATTTTTAAAACAGAAAGTACAAGGATAACCAAGAAGCTACACGGTTCCTGTCGTAGGATTTTCATACACACGCTGACATCAAATGACTGAAATATGCTGCTGTAGAAATTGCAAATGAACATGATTATTGAATGTCTTTATCTGTGATCTCTTTCAAAACCTAATAAAATATCTGTATAGAAATTGGGCTGATGGGGAAGAAAGTTAGGATTTCCTCTTGCAGTTGGTGATATGGTAGTTTTTAGTGGGAACTAAAATGACAGAAACAGTTTATTTTAAAAACTTAGGAAAACTCAGGAACAAGGACAGCATGGACGTTTGAAGACAGTACTTTAGGGTGGAATTGAAATGAAGAGAGTTGGTCTAAATTTGTATGAGAAACTATAAAATCACCAGGGCTTCTCCCACCTGTGGCCAGGTATGAGGTTGTTGGTTCCTGAAACCCCACTCAGGACGCAAGAGAACAGCTTATTTTTACACTGGAAAGCTTCACACTCAGGAATGCACACACAGTCAAGGCTGGAGAGGGGCACATACTGAAGACAGAAGTGTTTAAAGCCTTCAGTTCCGCACAGTGAATCCCTGGGACCCGAGTTCACTACCTTCCTCAGTGCACAGGCAGCCAGGAAGTCATCAACAGACAAGAGGTTGGAGGATTTTCCCTTGGATAAAATAACCCACACTTGTAGAAGTGGAAACACAGGTACCAACTTTTTATAAAAGTACACAAGTACCAACTTGAGCTGGTGGACTCCCTGCCTTTCTGTAAAACTCATCAAAGTGACCTTCCAGTGCTCACAGGAAGAGTACAACCAGGATGAGCCGAACTAACAACTATGCAATACATTCCCTAACATGAATATGCAATACAAGAGGAAACGGGAAGGAGAGATGATCAATGCACAAAAAAAAAAAAAAAAAAAAAACCACAAAAAACAAAACAAAACAAAACAAACAAAAAAACACCTTTCAATCTGTATCTTTATAAAAAAAGAGAAAAAATGGTTATTAGCATTTCAAAAGAGGAAGTGTATTATCAAAAGAACAGAGGTAGAACAAAGAAAGGAGATATTCATCAAATAATTCCAACAACTTTCCTCAATTTGAAGTGTGAGGATGTTTTTAAAACTAAGGGTCTCAGGGATTACCTGGGATGACTGTCAAATAGTGGGGAACTTTCTTGTCAGGTTTCATAAAAGCAGGATTAGTGAGAGAATTTTCAAAGTTTACTGAGCTTAAAAAAAGAATGTCACAATCAGAGACTGGAGGATCAGACTCACCCTGCCTTTCACAACACTACAGAGTAAATGGAGTGATGAATTAAAAAAATTAACAATATCTACATGAATTTGGCATGCTTTTTAGGGAAAACAACTTTTGTTGAATTCTATAACTATTACATATAAGAAAAAATTGATATTGAAGATTTCAAAATTGACTATGCCTAATTTTTTCCTGAGAGAATTACTGAAAGATGTGCTCCAACAAAGCCAGCTAGTAAACCAATGAAAAAGTTATATATATATATATATATATATATATATATATATATATATGGATAACGAAAGAGACAGAAAATCAAATTCAAATAAGGGAACTACATTCAGAGTAGTATACATGATTTCTAATTATTATAGGGTTATAACTAGACTTTGACTGACACTCAACTCTAATCCCTTATTCAAAACTCTGATGATGAACAGAAATATTTCAGAGTTGAGAGTGATAAAATATTACAACTGTGTTTGGTGGAGACTCTGTATCAAAACACCTGGATATTTCTGCCACAAAATAAGTAGCAAGTCACTCTAAAGGGAATAAGTAAATCTATCCATAACCTTAAGTCAGGTTAGATCAGGTAGAGACACTTAATAAATTATCACAATTCCATTCTTTGAGACACTCAATTTAAGAATAAAAAAGTTATGAACTTGTACAAGCAAAAACTATGCTGCCATTTTGCTGAGAAGAGAAAGATAAATTTCTTTATGTATATGTGTATGGACATGTGTTTGTGTGTATTGTATGAATGTGTTTATAGTGTGTAAGATCTGCCACTATACCAAGTCAAAAATTAGTATCTAAAACTTTAAAATGAAGTGCATAATATTTAAAATTTAAAAATCTAAACATAATATCTAAAAACACTGCAAGGAAATTTAGCCAGAGTAATCTGTAAGAAAAAAATTAGTTTTGAAAGTTGAGATGCTTACCTTTATAGATAAATTTTTGAGGATGCAGATAGATGTACAAGCCTGTTCTCTGTTATCATGTAGGACTATTTCATTTTTAACACATCTGTTTAATCTTGATAATAATAAAATAAATTCAACAGCACCAGATGGGACTGCATGGGCTCAGGCTAGCATTTCCGATTATCACTGTGTTGGGTTTTCTTACAGCTTGAAAAGCTGCCTGACTTTTATTTCTCTCTCCCTATTGCTCTTGCTGTAGTGTAGTTTGTGGCAACCTCTTGTGAGTCCATCGGTACCACCTTTGCTTTGCTGAGCTTTCCTCCTCTGCGTGTTCTCCACGATGTCACCAGATATGCCACAAGCCAGGAAGCTATGGACAGTAGACACCCTGGCTTGGGCGTGTGGCACGTGTGATTGATACATGGTGATTTTTTAAAGTCACAGCAAAACACATATTGCCACTAACCCACTTCAAAGTATTCCCTTCCCTTTGTAAACACTTATCCTCTAGTTTTCACCATGTTCTGAAGCAGTTCTGGAAGTCCTCTTTCATGAGTGTCTTTAGCTGCTCTGTCAGGGCTGTTCCCATGTCCCGAATGAACTCAAAATCTCTCCGTCATGGCCATTGTGACTGAGGAAGATCAGAAGTGCTGGCAGTAGTGAGTGGGCTAGATGCGGGGGCACTGTGATACTTTTCACCAGCCGGCCTTTCCATGAGATGGGCCATGGCAGTGGCGTTCACAGCATTTGTGATCACGCCTTGTAACAACACCCATGAAAGATTTCCAGAACTGCTTCAGAAAGTGTCAAGAATGACGGAGTAAGTGTTCGAAGGGAGCTGGACTGTTTTTAGGAGGGCTGATGACAAAGTATTTTAATATGATATATTTTATTTAAACAATCATTATCCCTCGTAATATTGCTCTAAAACCTACCTCTGATATCATCTGATCAGATTTAAATCAAATACCTATGATCACTGAGTATCAGATCCAGTTGGTAAAGTTAAACTATTAAGTATAATTTGCAAATTTTTATGAGTTACAATACCTGCTGGAACCAGGACACAATAAGCGTTTGCAAAATGCTCTTCCCTTTTCCTGACATTAAGCAAAAAGGCTGCATTTTCCTCTTCCTTTTCTGTCACCATGGTGTTTTATTCAATAGTAAATAAATAATAGGCAGCCCCGTTGCGCAGAAAAATTCCCTCCATCGCCTTCTATCACAGCAAATAACTCCATCGAAACAGCTTATTGAGATAGTGCTAAATTTCTGCTTCACAGGTAGCTTTACAAACATGTGTCTAAAAGAAGGCTGGAGAGGAATGGGAATAAAGTGAGGAACACTCACTTCCATGATGATGATGAACGTCATCTTGGCGGCCAGCACGTGCCAGAACTGCATGTTGTGAAGGTATTTATTCTCATCCCCAGGAGGATTTCTGTAATCTCTGTATCTGGAGCAATGGGCATAAGTACAATAGATTAGGAGTAGCTTCAGTTAAAGGGAGACTGCACCTACACTCTTGTTATTCATTAACCTCAGAAGTCAGGCAACAGGAATACAACATTACGATGCAGGACATTTTCCTCATCATCTAAAATCGTGGCCACGTGACCCCTGTGTGCTGTGTATCTCTGGAGAAAATTAAAGCTGAAACTTCTCTCGTCTTGCAAAGAGAAACTTCTCAAATAAGTTATAAAACTTTGCAATCCTCCATTTCCTTTCTTTCTAATCCGCAAGACTCTTAGCTCTATTCATCCCTCTGCCAAAAGTGATTATCATCATGCATTAAATGTGACATTTGATTCCTTATCCTGTTTGACTTTCCAAGAATAGAACTGCTATTATTGATCATTTTCATTTTCCTCACCCTCTATTTTCTCTTGGAAGGGTTGACACTGCATTACTCTATTATTTTAAGACTTTTCTTGATACTTAACTTCTAAACTCATTCTCTCCTATAAAGTTTCTAGATGTTGATCCTCTTCAGTGGCCTTAGTCTCACTAGAAAATAATAAAATCTATAAATCTGCAGTAGTGCCTATACTGAATCATCATGCTGTGAATCTTTTATAAACAAATGTAGACCACAATAATGTTTTTGTCTACTTGTCTTATAACTTTTTTTAAAAAAATCATTCTTTTCTGGAATCCTACAGGAAGCACTTGGTGTAAGTGATCTTGGTGTTTGTCTGTCTGCCTGCCTCTCATTTTAAAATTTTGTAGTATAAAGATCCTCAAGTATACTGAATACTAAAACAGCATTTCACAGAATCCTATTTCATATTCCCTACTAAGAAAAAAGAAACCCACATTTAAATGGGATACCTGGTAAATGATCAGATTATTATATAATTGTTTGCTTCTCATTTTCTTTTTTCTTTCTTTTTATTTATTTTTGAGGTTTTTTTTTTTTTTTTTTTTTTTTTTCTGGTACCAGGAAGTGAACTTGTGAACCTGTGACCTGTACTTGCCAGGCAGGTGATTATGCCACTGAGCTAAATCCTCAGCTCATTTTCTTTTCGACGGATACATAGCTAAATTCAAATAATGCACATAATATGAACATGGTGTATGATGCTTTGACATTACAACTTGAGACCAAGAAGCATTTATTGGTGAAGAAATTTTGGGGAAAAAAGTAGAAAACAAGATGCCACAATCATTACCTGTATCTAATATTCTATTCTTTTGTACAAGTAAATCCTTGTCATTATAAGACATGAAGGTATTAAACAGCTTAAGAAACACATTTAAACAGTGAGATTAAAATCTAGAAAAAACACACACCTGCAAGTGACGACATCCCGTTTATCCAAAGGTACAGTGTGGTTTGGAAAATCAGCGATCAGGAATACCGACAGACTGTTGTTGACATAGCCGGCCAAAGGCTCTGTGGTATTTGTGGAGTAAGCATAGTAGTAAACTAAACGGGGGATGATGTCCGACGTAAACGCGACAATAAAAGCCTGAGTGACAAAGCAATTGTAAGATCGTGAGCTGTGAGACGCTAGATCCGTGTATCTTTCAATCCCATGTCCTCCTGGTACATTACAATTAATCATAGTACCATGCCACTGTTTGGTCTGCAGTGGGAAACAGCTCATTTATAGCACTGAATAACTATTCCAAGATCTCATAGCTAAAAGTGGCTAAGTTGAAAATTTAAACCAAATGTGTCTGTCTCCAAAACAAACAAATCAACAACAACCTTTCCTTTTTATATTTCTTAATTTTCCATTTGTGTAGCTATATAGAACGTTCTACTTGTGCTCTATGATCCCTAACTGAATTCTCTCCGCAGGGCAAACTCCCTAAGCCCCAAGTGTGCTGGGTCCTGTTGATGGGAGGGAACAGAAAGACAAAGGCCTTGCACTGGGAAACTTCCCTCAGTCCACTACCGTTTGGCTTCACGGGATATTAATTTCTAAAACTTTCTGGGGCTCTTAAATCATATCGACAGCTTGTTTCCTTTAGAATAGAGGAGTGCATTTGAGACCTTCTCGTTCTACATCTATATTTTTAGTGCTAAAATTTGTAAGTTTATTATTTCTTTTATGGCTGCTATCCATTCACATTATCTATTCCTTCCTGAATGAATTTGGCATTTTTGTTTCCTATAGAAGTGTAATTTCCAAGATACCAACGCTTAGAATAAAGGAGTTCATAGCAGCCTTCCATATTTTTCAAAGTTTTGCTTGATTTATATCTTTTCAACAAATCAATACTTGACAATTATTTTTGGCTCTGAATTTGACTTACAATGTTTATGTTTTTACTACTTTCATGGCTTAGCTCATGTTTTCTAGGATTTCTCTTGTCCTCTGTTTTCTTCTTCTTAAATAAATGCACTTATAAATATGGATTTTGTTATAATTATAGTTTTGCTATTTTACATATGTTTTCATTTTATAAGCTCTGCTTCTATAATTTTAATTCTATTTTTTCTTGAAGAAATAGTAAAAATGTTAAATAGTTGGGTTTTCTCTTTTGATTACCTTCTTAAATTCAATATTTAAAGCATAACTCCAGATGAATATGCACTATAGGATTTGTAGTTTTGGAAATGTAGTATTCTATTTTTATGTAAATGCACTATAGACATAAGTACATGCTTGCTCTCTGATTGTGGTTTATAAATGCACATATAATCAATCTTCAATGGGTTATTCAAGTATTTTACATCAGTACTTATTTTTTACCTTATTGTCACATAGTAAGAAATGCTTTTATGAAATTTTAATAAATGGTTTTATAATTGTTCTTGTATTTTTAAGAGTCTGCATGTCATAGGTTTCTCGTTATCATTCAGTGCATAATAGTTTAGGATGTTTTGTTTATGGTCCACACCGGGAGAGAAGAGCATAAACAAAGTGAGTTAAGTATCATTCACATGTCTCCATTCCCAAGGAAACCCATAAAGTGCGCAGTAACCAGGGAAACAGGTCCACTTACAGGGAAACAGGTCCACTTACATTAGTTGCAACGGACAGCACCGCCAGGCCAGCCAGAATGTCCTGCCAAACTCCGATGCTGTGCGCTTTGGCAGCTACAGGTCTCCTGTACTGAGTGGTAAGTTTCCAGGCATCCACACGGATCTCTACGATATTATTCATGAGGGCAAAGAGAGGAGCCAAAGGGAAAGAGGCCACAAACAGTGTGACAAAACCAAACTGGATCACTGTCGGGAGAAGAACAAGAAATCATAAACTCCTGATTGTAGAGAGAAAGGGATTCTGGTCATGCCTGAATTCTCTCATTGGGAAGAGACCAACACAGACAGACAATTCGTGTCACCTTCCATCCCCCTCCTAGCGAGGGAGGCAGTGGTTTATTTACCTTCTAGAACTGGATGGAGGGACTAAGACCAGAGTTCAGTTCTATTCTTGTTCTGCCTTGTGAGAACCACTTGTCTGAAGAAAGAAGCGGTTCTTCTTTGCCTTCTGTTATGTGCTAAGTTTAAATCCACGTGGGCCTGGTCATTATGTTTTTACTGGCAATTGAATTTGTGTTAGATAATGAAGTATCTCTTCTTGCAAATCTATCCGCTTTTTTGAGCAAGATGACGACTGATTCATTTGCATGCTTTCAATCGCTGGTGTGTGTGTGTGTGTGTGTGTGTGTGTGTGCGGGTGGGTGTAATTTTTCATTTATATACATTATAACCATAAATCTGCACAAACCAAAATGGAATAAACCAGACATAGAAGGTTAAATATCACGAAGTTTCTCTTATGTGAGAAATTTCAGGTATATATAACCTATAAAGCAAAACATCAAAAGGATGGTAGAAAACAGAAAGATAAAGTTTCAGGAGATGGGAAAGGGATGTAAGGGTAGGGGGATGAGGAAGAGGAGAGAAGGGGAGGCAGAAACTACCAAGGTGTGGTGTGTGTGAGTCACAATACCCCTCAGCGAATATATTCATCATGTCTTACAAGCCTATACTAACAAAACATTTTTTACAAATACAAATTCTATGGAATAAGGTATTTGTTAAGGCCCTAGTATTCTACACTCTCTCTTCCTGAGGTTTTTTTTTTTTTTTTTCCTCTCCCTTCATTGCTGACTTCTCATCTTTGTTCTTCCGTTTCTAACAATGCTTGGACTAAGGAAACCCGTGTGACTGACAGCCTGGACTTTCCACACAAGTGAAGGAATAACAAGACAAAAATGGCTTTTCCAGTAAGGAAGAAATTATTTCCACCTACCCTCTATTTTTAAATAAAACCTCAGTATCTTTGGGCTTCAGGTTTTATTGGGAGACTCCATTGGTCTTGTTATTAAGTTACAAATACATATTGACACTTTTCTATCTGGCTTTGTTTACTGGACAAATAGAAAAAAAGGGGATTCAAATCAAATTCTTTAGCTAGAATCTTTGTGGCTCACAGAAACTTAGTTGGATTATCTAACTTTCAGTTTCCTCAAAAAGTAAAATATGCCAAGTAAAGAGTAAACAATTATTTCAAGATTAGAGATGATATAGCAAAGTTTCTAGGATAAATTAATTTAGCTGTATCTCATAAAATGGTGGTAAATCTTATTATGAAAACTTCCATGTCCTGTTTTAATTTCAATATTAATTCTACGCATTTCTTATTTTCAGCCTAAATCTAACTTACAAAAATTTTTTTTAGCTGTGTTTCTTTTCAGCCCAGCCTAAAGGATATACATTGGAAGATTTCAGACTTTGGAAATGCTTTTTTTTTAAACATTTTCTTTCCAAGCAGTAACTGAGGCATAGGGGAAAAAGCTAATTAAAAGATCTTAGAGAAAGAAGTTAAAATGTCATTCTTACTTGAGTTTGTTAAAAAATACTAGTAGTTAATTGATAAGAAAAGATGTCTTTAAGGTGGATATTTTTTGGTGGTGGTGCTGGGAATTGAACTCAGGACCCTGTGGTTGGCAGGCAGGCACTGTACCACTGAGCTACATCCCTGGCCCAAGGTTGGTGTTTTGAAAGTAAACTTTATTCCACATTCTACTTAGTAGGATGTTATGAATCATTCTATTGATCTCCATTCATTCATCTTTTTACCCACAATTCAATGGCATCAGGTAGCTACTGTATACATGGCAGAAAGAAATATTAAGGGATAGAAAATACACTTATTTCATTCAGGTGCTTCATAGCAAGAATTGAAAGTTACCTGTTTCCAAGTACTCGTAGAATAACCCAAGTTGTCCAAAGCTCTGCAGGTCGTGATCTTGCTCCCAGCGACTGTACAGTTTCTCAGAGTTGGTCCGAGCTTTCCGACGTCTCCACCAATTGAAAACCAAGCTGTTGGAAGTGATGAAAGTGAACACATGAAAGAGAGCTAAACTGAAAAACGTCAGGAAGTTAATGTGTTAAAATCTGAAATAACACCAAGAAAAGGTCAATAATTTAAGATCAACCCACAAGGAGATACACAACCTGAACTAAAGTGCAACTCATAATCTAGTGTTCTTTTCATCACACCTGTCCCTCATTTTTTACTTCTATGGTGATTAAGAAAACAAGAAACTCTTGACTGAACTCACTGACCAATACTTACTCAGAGACATTGTTCTACCTATCTGTTTTATGTCAATATCATGCTGCTTTTGTTATGATGACTCTGCAATATATATATATTTTTTAGTCAGGTGTTGTGGTTCTACCAGAATTTTAGGGAACGTCTGGGTCATTATAACCATTCTGAGTCCTTTGTGATTTCATGTAAATTTTTGGATTCTTTCCCCTAGTTCTTTGAAAAATGTCATTATATTTTGATAGGGGCTACACATACTGTGCATGAGACTGGCAGTAGCATCATCATTTTAACAATATTAGGAAGCATGAAGGTCTTTCCTTCTTCAAGGATCTTCTTTAATTTCTTCAGTCTTCTATACATGTTGTTGTGAAGGTCTTTAACCTTCTTGGTTATACTGCTTCCTAATTAAAGCATTTGAACTTTGTAAATGCAATTATTTTCCTGGCTTCTTTCTCAACTAATTAACTATTGGGGTACAGAAAGTCTGTTGATTTTTAAGGCTAGTCTGGAGTCTTGATACTTTGGCAAAATTATCAGATATATAATTTTTGGTAGCTTTTTTTACAATTTTCTAGGTATAGGATGATATCATGTATAATCAAGCATTGTTTGACTTCTTACATTCCTACTTGTATCTTTTTTAGCTTTACCTTGCACAGTCATTGGTTAAAATTCCTAGTGCTGTATCGAATAAGAGTGGTAAAAGCAGATGTATTTGTTTCTGAGTTGAGAGGAAAAGTGTGTTTTTTCTGTTCAATATGATGTAAACTGAGATTTTCAGAACACGCATCCTTATGTTGAGGGATGATTCTTATGTTGAGGGTTTTTCTTATGAAGATATATCGAATTCTCCCAAAGGCTTTTTGTGTATCAAATCACAAGATTTTTTTATCACCAAATCTACTTATGTGGTATATTATGTTTATTTTGACTCATTCTTGAAGTCAACTTGATCGTGGTGTATGAGATCCCTCTTTACATTTCTATTTGTATTGATTTGGGTTTCTCTTTCTTTGGCTAGTGTAGCTAATGGATAATCAATCTTACCATCTTATCTTTTTTTTGGGGGGGGGTACTGGGGATCGAACTCATGACCTAGCACTTATCAAGCAAGTACTTGAGCCATTGAGCTAAATCCCAGCCACAATCTTATCATTTTAAAGGATCAATTTGTTGTTACATTGAACTTTTGTATTTATATTTAGTATCTATTTCAATATTTTCAGCTCTGATATTTACTATCTCTTTCTACTGGGCTTGGTATGGGCTTATTACTATTTTTCTAATGCCTTGAGATGTCCCTTGTATTACTTGTATGAGTTCTTTCTCATTTGTAATGCAAACCCTCAGAGTTATGACATTTTCATTTGCTTTTGGGAATTTTAAAAATTTCCCTGTTGATTTCATCTATGACTGATTGCTCAATAATGAATTGTTCAATTTTCCCAAGTTTGCCTCATTTCTTTAGTTTCTCTTGTGAATTTATAGTTTCATTTCATATTGATCGATATGATATGAGATTATTTCTTTTTTATATTTGTTTGGTTTATTTTGAAGAATCCTCATGAGTTGCTAAAAATGTGTATCCTGTAGTTTAAAGGGATGCTTAGTAGATGTTATGCCCCTTTGTTCTACTATGTGGTTCAACTCTCACACTGGTTTGTTAATGTTTTGTCTGAATGATCCATCTTTTGGTGACAGTAAGAGTATAAAGCCACCCAGTATTATTGTACCGAGGTTTGTACCTATCTTTATGGTAAGTAATGATTGTTTTTTAAAACTCAGCAAACCAGATTTGGTGAATGCACATTTATAACTGTCACATCTTCCTGGTAGAGTATTCCCTTTGCCAAGTGGACTTCATTGTCTCATCTAATTCTGGATGTCAGCCTGTGGCTATGACATCAGCTACGTCTGCTTCCTTTCAGATTCCATTTGCATGGAATACCATTTTCCATCTCTTCCTTTTCAGTCTTTATGTGATTTTCCTGGTGAGGTATGTTTTTTATGGGCACCTGAGTCAGTTTCTGCTGGAAAGTCAATCTTCCAGTCTGCACCTCTTGGGTGAAGAATGGAGACCATTCTCACTTAGGGTTATTACTGAGAGGTATGCATTAATTCCAGTCATTTTCTCGTGATTCTCATGTTGGAATCTTTCCAAATGCTCCTTTACTCATCTGCTCATGCTGGTCTGTGTCTAGGATTTCTTTGGCAATTCTGATTGTGTGTTCAGAAATGTCTTTAGTTTGTGTTCATCCTTTGTTTCTTAATTTCTGAATAATAGCTTTGTTGGATTAGTAAGCAATATGTACAGTTATTTTATTTCAGGATTTGAAATGCATCATTCCATGGCCTTCTCAGTTTCTGCAGAGAAATTTGTAGTTATTCTGATGGGTTTGCCTTTGTAAATGACTTCCCATTTCTCTCGTAACACTTTCAATATTCTTTTCATGGCCATGTTACTGACCTTTGAAGTGTTACATGACATCAAGAAGTTCCTTTCTGATCCTGCCTTTTTGAGGTTCCATCTGTTCCCCTGTCCCTGTATGTCTGCATCTCTTCTCAAATTTGGAGACTCTTCTGCATTATTTCGCTGAATAGATTTTCTGTGTCTTTCATCTATCCCTCGGCTTCTTCTTCCATTTGGGAATTTGTGTTTTTTAATTGTGTTCCAGAATCCATGGACATTTTGTTCATACTTTATTATTTCTCATTTATAATGTGATAATTCATCAGCTTTGTCTTTTTCCTTTTTATAGCTTTGTCTTTTGAGACTCAAGTTCTGCCCTGTGCTTGATTTAGTTTATTGGTGAGGCTGTCCACTGAGCTTTTTATTTCCAAGGTTTATGTTTCAATATTTTCCTGTATCATTATCTCTTTGTTAAATTCCTTTTCCATGTTATTTAATATCTTCCATATTTCATTTAGCTACCTATCTTCTTTAACGTCATTATCCTTTAAAAGTATCAGTTTTATGAATCTTCATCCAGCCTTTCATCCATTTTTATATTGCTGGATTCAGTTATTGATGAGTTTTGAACTCTAGAGGAATTGCAGTGGCCTCACTTCGAATACTGGTGGTGTTTCCACACTGGAATTTGCACATCTGTTGGAACAGCTGCAGCCTCCAGTCTTATGTGAGGCTCTTCTTAGTGAGCAGCCTTCTTTTGAGGGATTGGTACCCAGTATCAGCCAGAGAAGAGAAAATAAACTGCAGAAACCATGGTAACACCGAGACAAACCAAATGCTGAAATGTGAAAATCAATTTAAAAGCAACAACTACACTAAGAAAGTATTGAAAAATAAAAAGAATGTTAACATAAAGTAGCCTAAAATGATAAATTAATTAGGACTGAAGAAATGAAAATAAAGTAATAGTGATGACATGGAAGGGGTAAGGAAAGGGGAAAATCCAAGAGGCAAGATTTTCTTTCAAAAATGCAGAAAAAGTCTCAATAAAGAGATAAAAATTCAGTTAAAGAATTTTGAAAAGTAAATTAAACAGAAGTAAGAAATGAGAGATCCCTCCAACGTTATTCTTCTACATCAGTACTTTGGCTGATCCAGGTCTTTGGCTTCCCACAGAAGTTAGAGAATATATTTATTTATGTTTACAAATTCCTATAGCTATTTTGATTAAATAACAGTAAATCTATTAAGTCAATTCAAGGACAACAGGCATCTTAGCCATACTGTGTCTTCTAAGCCATACAGAACATGTATTTCTCTACATATGATTTTTCTTTCACCCCATTTTGTAGTTTTCAACATACAAATTCTGTATGATACTTAGACTTGCACCAAAGTGTTGTGATTTATTGGTGCTCCAAGTTCTGTGTTGACCAATATTTCTTACACCTGTCACTTTCTTACATCCTACAACTTCCAGTAGATCATTCCATGATGGTCAAATAATGAAAACTATCAGTGTTTTAATCTCTAAAAATGTGTATTTCACCTACAGTGTTCACAATAGTTGCCATGGATATTGAAAGCTAAGTTAAACATTTTTACCTAGCATCTTGAAAATGCTGTCTTTTAATATCTAATACTACTGATGAGAACCTTGTTGGTAGTGGCATAACATGCTTTTGTAGATAGTACATCCTCTGATAGATTTCAAGATTATCTGTTTTTCTTCAGTGTTCCATAGTTTCTTCATATGCATCTGGGTGTCAGTTTAATTCTATCTTATATTATTCTTAGAATTTTTTTTTCATCTTTTTTCTTGTAAGATTTACTCAGTTTCTTTTCCTGAAAAATACATGTACTTTAAGGTAGAAAGTTGTTATCTATCCTATTGCAGATTTAATTATTAAGTTTATTATTGTTATTAATTATTCTGCAGTGTAAGCAGTTAAAAACGGGAATTTTTGCATACTAGGCAGGTGTTCTACCATTGAAACGCACCATCTGTCCTTCAATTTTTAAAAACCATATATTGTATGGTACAATGCAGGGATAGCTTAGTACATTTTCAAGCTCACTAGTTTGTGTTTTATTTGCTTATGCTTGTTTGTTTATTGCTACAGTGTTCCAGCCACACTGCAGACTGACCTTGAACTTTGGATATAGCTCAGGCTCACTTCAAACTCATCATATAGCTCAGGTTGGCTTGAACTCACAATTCTCCTGCCTCAGCCTCCCAAATGGCTGTGATTACATGTATGTGTTACCATTCCTTATTTATTCATTCTTAAACCGTGCCTAGTTTTGACTTGGACTCTGAAATTGTCTCATCTATTGTACTTAGTATTTAAAGTGACATTTTTATTTATATACAACCAATTGCTTTACAGATTTTTTGATACTATATCTGTCCCACTTTTAAAGACAATATCACTTCCTTTTATGTTTTTAATATTTCTATGTAATTTTTATGGGTTTTGCCAGAATCATCTAATTAAAATTATCACGTAGAATGTCTCCTTTTCTAAAAGGTGATTTGGTTAACTCTAAAGAATTAACTGTCACACTGCATTTTGCCAATCAGGTTTGTATACAGGTTTAGGGTACATTTTTTCAATTTGGGATTTTAAAAAATTATTTACCTTCCCCCCCTTTCCTCTTTGTGTATTTACCCCTGTTCTTTTATTTCGTTTAGAGGCTGCTACCATTCTGTTAGCAGTTTCTCAATCTAGAGCTGAGTTAACAATATAAGTTTGGAGTTATCTTCCTAGAACACAATGTATCCAGTCAAGAAGACAGGAGGAGGCCTGGCTGAAGCCTCCCACTGTTGGTAAAAACCAGTCCAGAGCATATCTGCTGTCAGCCCATGAAACAGTATCCAACACAGTGCTCTAGAGCTGTGGGCACTGCCAGGAGATGCAGGGAGAATGTTTTCAACATTGTTTCATAAGTGAGAAAAGAAGCCCATTCCCTGGGTTCAGGGCATTTAACCTGGGCAGTCTTCAGTGGGTCAGTCAGTCTACTTTATCCTGGAGGTGCCAAGCCCTGACATTGTCATTTCAAAGAGCTCTGCAAGACCCTACAACTACGTTTTAAGATTCTTTACTCTTTGCTTATGGCAGTGTTCATCTAATATGTGAAGTCAATTATCATTTTAGGTGTCTCTCTGTATAGTATATTCATGATTGCTATGGCTTTGGATCAGAGAACAACCCTTTCATGTGATTACCTGAAAATTATCCAGTATTTTATTTACAGCAATGTAAATGACACGATGCATTATATCTCTACAAAGTCCAACCTTTTGTAACATTATGAATACAGTGCAGCATGTAGAACAGTCTATAGAGTATATTACATCTATATTTTCTTGTGAAAGGCTTGTGCAAGACAAGGATAATTAGTTTTTCTCAGTTTCACTGAAGCAACAGACACCATATGCAAAACATTATACTGTACTCCAAAATTACATTCAATTGAAAATATAATAATATGTAAGGCTTTGCTAACCATGGATTTAATTAATAAATCAATCAATAAATCAATGAGTTAAAGGCCTATGCAATTTTAATGCATCTTTCACTCCTGATTGAAAATATTTTTGTCAACTTAAATAAATTGTAACAAAGGCACCAGAAGTAAACAAGTTTCATCCTCTTCTAAGGAAATCTCTTGTGCTTACTTAAATCAAATAAAGCAAAACACATGTAAGTCATACGTACGGATAAATGGCTTCCTTAATGTTCGTGAAAATCTGTTTCCCAATCATTATGATGGTCAACTGGGTTGTCAGTTCTACTAAACAGCCTCCAGGGTCACACTAGTTGGAAGCAAAGAGGGGAGAAAAGTGAACAATGGAAGACAGAATTTTACAACTAAAATAAGCCCTAAAGCATTACTTTAAATATTCAAGATTTTGGTTCGGGAAAGTAGATTAAGGAATTAAAGGGATATTTAGCCAAATAGCTCCAAGCACAATCTTAGATCAGTTCCAAGCCAGTCACAGCAGATTTATCAGTAAATTGTCTTTTCCGGGTCCAAGTCCTACGTGCTGAATCTTTATTTGTGACCTGAGGTCAAAGGTCAGTCAGTATATTCTCCATGTAACCTGGTATTCAACCAGGATTGGAAATCACTGACTTTTCCCAGAGTCAATCCCTTCTCCAGAAAGCCATCATGAATCAATCCTTTGTGGGAAGCCACTGGGAATAAAGATACTGCTTACTTCACATTTCCATGTTTTACAACTAATCGACAGGCATCATTATAAATTCTTATACGTAGGAACTCAAAATTCTAACAGATAAAAAGGCTCATCCATGGGCTCTCCCTGCCCAGATTTCTGTTGCAACTTGGTAACATTTGAGTTTGCCCTGGACACACACAAACACAATTCTTAACAATGAGTGACTGAAGATAGATATACAGCTCAGCTCTCAGGGAATCCTTACCTCCTCACTTCTCCACACGTTAAATAAGTACGTGTATTTTCCAGGGTAGCCCACAAACTTCCCTTTAAAGAAAGCTACGTAGAAGCAAGACGAGTAAAAATTCACAAACTGAAACAGGAACATTTTCAGAGTAAGACTGCTCTCATATTCCTGGTAAGTTCGAGGAAGTTCTGTTAAGTAAAAAACATCCAGCTTTAGTGCGTTTTCCAATTTTTCTTGAGTTTCATACTCACTGGGTCAAGGGGACACCCAGAGGTATTACCCTGAAGGTTCATGGAACTTTCCTCGCTCTGATCATAGAATAATAACATGATTAACTGTCAGTTTGTCTGGGCTTTCTGTTGACCCTTTGTGTAAATCTAACCAACGGGCTCTCACAGGAAGCAGCCATGGTCACATTTAGATAATAGGAATGCAGTGTGTTTCTCTGAGCAGATAATTTCCCAACAGCATAAATAATCCAGCCAAATCCTTGATGTTTCCAGAAATACCAAAAAGACAACAAATGATTCTAAAGGAACAGAGAATGCCTCCATTTTTGTGAAATCCTATTGCACCTCTATAAATTCTCTGATAGGAATTCAAGTGATTTTTCACATTGGAAAAAGCTCTAGCTTTTTAGTAAACTTAAAAAATTCATCTGTTATAATTTTCTTGCTATTGTTAGCAAAAAAAAAATTAAAGCAGAATTGAAAGCAAATTCCCAATTGGAAGACGGTTTGTAAGGAAGGTTTGATTTTCAGCAGTGGGCTGGAGGGAGACAGTGTGCAGACTGGGGGAAAGCATGTCTGGACAGAGCACTCAAAGAAGGGGTGACACCTTGGCTCCGGGCTCTGCTCTCATCCCTAATTTAGCCACAGTAAGAGCAATTCTGCTCTGTGTTGTTACCTTGAATTGCATCTTTTTCTTGACTGTGACCCCCTTTTACCTTCCCTCATGGTTTCAGGAGAAATTTTAGCACTGGAAAAGACAGTAACCCTTCATCTCAGAGATGGCAGCTGAAGAGCAAACTAAGTGAGACTTATGTAGCAGGACCTGATGTCTGGGTTTTTCCCATGATGATTTCCAAAGCCAAATACCTTCTGAGAGTCATTCACATGAAATCAAATTCTCAGTGTCTTAATTACATTCAGTTATTTACTCAGGATTCAGCTACAGGAACAGTAAGACAGGAACACTCAAAATGACTTTAGGAGCCCTAATGCTTTCTTTTATTCCTTTTCTTCCTGCTTCCATTAGGACATGCCCGAGTTTGATTCTTAGGTGATTCTGAGGCACAGGGTAGGGGGCTCTACTTAGAGAACAAAGCCATCAAAAATATGCACTTAGGAACTGACAGGGAAAGAAAGGATCGCGGTGGAGGTATAGTATTGGTAGGAATCCACTTTCGATCACCGAGTCTGGCTAGCTTACCCATTTTTGTAATCCATGCAGATATTTTTTCATAAAAGAAATTCAAGATCAAGATGACAATAAAGTTCAAGCAGGATCCCGTGAGTGATGTGGCCAACTGAGGAGTGAAGAAATGTTTGACTTCCTGTAAGGTCGTGTCACTTTCCATGAAGCTCGCAAAGGCAGCGAAGACTGACAGGCGGTACACGATCACAGCCACCATGCTGGTGACCACCAGAGCCATCTGGGGGAAGAGAGTACATCGGTCACGCTGCCCTTGGGATATCTGCCACACCTACAGATCTGCAGTTCATGCCGTTCTCATCATCTTGCGGCATTAACTTCGCAGCCCTGACATCCAAAGTAAAGGGTCAGTTTGTCATTTAACAAACAAATAGATGCTTGGAAATGAACACTAGCAAGGTAATGGTGGCTAAAGATGATTCATTCAGCAGTACCAGCAGATTAAGCATAAATAGCATAAGCGTCCTCATTGCTAGGCCTCTGGAGACTTAGACAAAGATAGCCAGGATGTGAGATAACACCCACAGTCTTGTTTCTTCTTGTAAAGTCCTCTAAGTTATTTTTTGTTGTTGTTGCCTTTATAAAGGTTGTAAAGAAAAACAATCACATATCAGAAACTTTATGTGGCCATAAAAATCCAAATTATATTTGGCTTCTTTACAGAACTGAATCATTTGCTGAATTATTTCATAGCTGCTGAATCATTTTCTAGGAATAGGTCCACAGATTCTGGATAAATTCTGAACATTCCAAATATTTCAAAAGCACATTGATGGCTTTAGATAACTCATTAGAGAATTTTATTTTTAAAGTTGAAGAAGTCAACTTGAATAAAAGCTAGAAACTAAAATAGAATAATCTATTATTCTATTTTATAAGTAGAATAATAAAATAATCTATTATTCTATTTTACAATAGATAATCCAGAATATTCCTTAAGGGGTGTCTTAAATTTATTACTGCCCCCCTTTTATTCTCTCACATCTTTTTGATAGCTATGTAATCTATGAAAACACATTTCTAGGAGCAGTTTTTCTTTTTTTTTTTTGGTACCGAGAATTGAACTTGGGACCTCATGCTTGCCAGGCAGGGGCTCTGCCACTGAGCTATATCCCTGGCACTACAAGCGTTTTTAAAATAGACAAATAATAACTTTAGCAAGATGTGTTAAAAGTAAAACATGTATACCTTGAGGGATTTGAACTACAATCTACAACTGTTAGTTTTTTACATATAATTTTATTTCTTTATTAGTATATTTTTGCTTGCTTATGTTTGTAGTATATGTGATTGCATTTATTGTGGGGAGTTCCTACATAAACCCAACACACCTTAATTCTTTTTTTGTCTCTTTCTTCTCCCATTTTTCCCTATTTCTGCCAATGCTTATTCTTTTCCCATTTGAAAAACTTTCATTAATTTATCTATACTTTCACATACTAACCCCTCAGAAGGTCACACAGGTTCTTTCTTAAAATTACAGATGAAGGGCTCAAATTTGGAAAGGCACTTTCCAAGTGGTGATACAGAAATATATTGACAAAAAGGCCTGCAGAAAAACTGACTCCATCACAACAGAATATATTAACTTAATACTTCAATTAGAAAAAGACACATTTTCTGTTTATTTCAGCAAGAGAATGAAATTTAATAGTATGCACTGCTTATTCATTTGTGCAGATATTTTAAGTAGATGATGATAAAGACAAATGAATGATTCTTTTAAACCTGACCACAGTCTGCAATGAAAATAACTTTGCTATTCTGGTTTCAAGTTATCGCTTAATTAGAAAAATGTTGTGAGATGAGAAGAAACAGGCTGTGAGATAAAATATCCTCCTGTTCCTCTAGATCATTCCCTGAAGTCAAATTCTAGAAAATCCTTGTACTTACAGCTTATTTTATATAAGTGTAAGACAAGATCAAAAGACCAATGAGGAGGAGGAAGATTCCAGAGACACTGCCAATGAAGCTGCTGGATCACTCTGCACGACTGAATCCCTGCTAAAGCCCCGGTAGGATTTTTTAAAGAAATGCTCACCCACAATGTCACCGTGGCTCCTGATAAGAAGTACCATGGAATATGACGAAACAGAGGCATGTGAGGTTCCATCTCCTGTAGTAGGAAAGAAATCACAGAAGGATTCACCACATGCCCTCCAAGTCAGTACTCAGAGCAGCAGGGGCAGGGCAATTTGAAACATCGCCAGGGGCTCCTTGTTCGGCATTCAAACATTCTAAAACTGGTTTCTTCTCCAGGTAGAATCTATGCAGCCCCCTTGAGGAGATATCTTTTTTTAAAATTTTATTACTTAAAAGATGGGGAGATTTTAATTTCATTTTTAATTTTAGTACTTAAACGATGGCAGAAAACGCAGAAAAGAAAAGTGAAAAGCAAAAGAGACAACAATAACAAACTCAAAATAATAACAATATAGGCTTTCAAAGCAACATGATAGGAATTTAACAGTGGTTGTTATATTGCATATTGTTATCTTCAAAAGAGTTGCTTAGATTCCCAGATATAGACATGTAAAGTTGATCTAATCGTATGAGTATTAACTGTTCTTTTCCAAGAGCTAATAGAACTAGCAGTATAGTCATCTTAGCTATCTCATGTATATATGTGTGTATATATATGTGTATGTATATATATAAACTTTTTCTTTTTCCTTCCTTTTTTAGGAAAGAAGGTAGAGGCAGTAGCTTACACATGACAAAACATACAGGGATGCATACGACTTCCTGCTCACAGCTTCATGGAGAGATCAAAACCTCACTGTTGCTATTTAAGTAGACATGATTTAAAAAACTAAATTTTTATCTCATTGAGTTGTAATAAATGCCATGCTCTTTTAAATGTATATTAAGTTGGGATGTGCTCCTTATATTTATGGGGTAAACTTTGCTCTTCCCCGTAATTCAGCAGCTGATCAGATGTTCCTACATTCAGGCTTAAAGTTATTCACGGAAGACATTAATTTTAGGTTGCTAGCATTATTCTCTGCATCAAAGGAATCTAAATTTGATTATTAAATAAAACAGCTATGCATTACTAAAAGCTGCCAGAGAAATATAAAGCATGAAATTCTTCCAAATGTAAGATTTCACAATTTAGGAGACTTCAGTGTACACTGAAGGCAAACAGAAATCTTAAAGGTAGCATAGGTTGTCCATAAGATTACAGAATATCAGAATATGTATGTCTGTACATATGTGATTTTTTGTACAACTCTTCATGCATAGGCATACAATGTACATGTGTTAACGCACATTTGAGCATATATATATATATATATATATATATATGCATATGTCTGTCTGTGCATAAGTGTGTTTATAGTGCCAAAAGCATATGATAATTCTTTTGGTACTCAAACACCTAAAAACCGGTAAAAGAAAAACAAAAACAAAGCCCTGCCTCTTGATTTCACAATCTACAAACCAAGGTGAAGGTGAAGTGAAATGAATGTACACAGCAAATCAATAGTAACTGCTTTTCAACTATTTCCAAAAGAAAACATTTAATATTCCTTTTCTCATGTTAAATTTTTGGCAAAGGCAAGAAGCTTGCTTGCATTTTCTTTTTTGTATCATGAAATAGGAATAAACACTATATCATGTTCCTGTCAATATTCTTTATAATTTCAAACTAACATTCGCATAGTTGATGTGTTTTCTGAGGTTCGTCTCCTTTATTCCCTTATTGATTTGATTTGTGTCTTCCAATGAAGTTTATTTTTTAATTTTTACAGTGTATATTACTACGTATTTTTAGTGTATACACTTAGGCAGGTGATACACATACAGGACACGTTTAATGCTTTTTTCTTCCCCCATCACCTCCACTTCCACCTATGTCTTGGTCTCCTTCTCACTGCAAAAGATCTATTTCCCTTTTTCCTACTGTTTTGTATCTTCCTCTTTATTTATGTTTTGAGTTTCTCTTGTAAGAGAAATCATGGATATTTAAGTTTGTGTGTTTGATTTACTTCATCGTTTTCCTTCAAATGACTTGTTTATTCTTTATGGCTAAGAGGTACTATACTGTGAATAAATACTACTATTTCTTCATTTGTTCATCTGATGATGGACATATTAGCCACTTCCAAGACTTAATTTTTTCGAGTTGGACTGCTATAAACATGTACATGTATATATCACTGTAATATGTCTTTAACTCCTTGAGAAAATAGAAGGGAATTTGTTGGGTCAAGTGAAATTTGTAGTTTCACCCATTTTAGGCTTATTTACTTTATTTTATTTGTACATGTTTGCAGTAGGTAGCAATTACATTCACTGACAGGAGTTGGTAAACTTTTTGAGGAATTTCCATGCTGAGTTCCACAACTGTTACCTAAGTTTACATGCCTACTATATTGTAGCGTTGCTTTTCCCTGCAGCCTCACCAGCACTGGTTATTACTTCTTAAAGACAGCCATTCTCTCTGGAGTAAGAGGAAAATTTAAACTTTTGGTGAATGTATAAACTGTAAAAAAAGTTTTGAGTGTTGATTATAAGAATAGTGTTTTGAACAGAGAAAAGATTGTGTTTGAAAAATATTTTCTTTTTTTGTTGTTGTTGTTTTCCTGGATTGGGGATTGAAACCAAGTCCTTTTCATTGATCTATGACCCCAGTACTTTTCAAGTATTTTTTTTTTATTTTAATTTTTTTAGTACATGTTTATAGTACATACAGGTTACAGTCATTATTGAGAGCAGGTACAAATGCATAAGTCTGAAATAGGGTCTCACTAAGTTGCTAAGGTGGGCAGGCTGGGCTAGATATTGTGACCTCCTTGCTTCTGCCTCCCAGAATGCTGGGACTGCAGACGTGGCTGCCAGGGTCGCCTTCCATCCTTTTCAACAGGAGCGGTTAACACAGAGACTCCTATTTAGGGAAAAATAAGAGACTCTAAGAGCACACAGCTAAGGCTCTGTGCTTTGAAAGCACTCACACTTTCACGTAAGAAAATTTGGTTATCAAGAAGTTAAATGATTCAGTCAAGAAAGTAGTTAGTGGGCTGGGCATTTAGCTCAGCGGCATAAGGGCCTGCCTTGCAAGTGCCGGTCCTGAGTTCGATCTCCAGTACCAAAAAAAAAAGAAAGTAGTTAGTTTTCTAGTTTAGGATTCTTGAATGTTGAATCTTAGTGAGAACTTATTTCACGAAAAAAAAAAATAAATAAAAAGGACTGAGGATATAGTTCAGTGCAAAGGCTTTGATTTCAATCACACTAAAAATTAAAAAAAGAATGGAAGAAAAAGAAGAGAGAGAGAGACAAGGTCTCACACACAGTCTTCCATCTTTACTAATTCAATCACGTTCCCAACATGATCAATACAAAGAAGAGACGGCATGAACAGAACTGGCTCTAATAAAGCATTCATTTATAAACCCACTTGGTACAACTACTGTTTTATTTTTTCACTAAATTAGCATCCTTTCCATTTCCATGTCTATGTATTTACAGACAAAGCAGCCAACAGCGTACACAGGACTTTCCTTGATCTCTTATTAAAGCTAAATGTTTCATATATTCTCAGATGTTGTATTTGCTTTAAACTAATTTATGGGCAGAAAGCTGCAGGGTATCAATGAAAAAGGCTTTCCATGAAATTAAAAAGACTGAAGTTGAGTAATGGGTGTATTTAGAGTGTTGATTGCAGTGTACTTTTGTCTGTACTGGTGTTTGAAATTTTTCTCATATATACATGTAAGAGTATATGTATAGATAAAGAAACAAGTAAGGCTGTCTGAATAGTTCACACGTCGGGGAGTATCTTAAAGGCAAATGAAAACGGACAGCATGATCTGAGAAGCAACCTATGACAGAATGCCCATTAAAAGTTGGGGCCTGTGCCACAGCCCCCCACGTACCTTGGTCACTGCATTCATCTTCCTGTGCTTGCACATGGCTTCGTACTCGGGTCTCAGCTGGTGCTGCTGCTGCTCCTCCTCGAAGTCCACCAGATCCCACTCGTACCCCAGCCTGGCCTGGCGCTGTTTCCAAAACTCCAAAAACAGTGTGACTAGAGGTGAGGAAATGCATGAAAACAAACACGGTCAAGAGATGGAGAGAGAGATTAACGAGAAAACGACTTCCTCTGCCTCTTTCCTCAATCATTCTGGCTGTCGAGGGGCCCCTATTATTTAGGGAGCTTTTTTGTCATAGACAATGAAATGGCCAATTATTAATGTTCCCCTAATGGTAGGTAATGACATTCAAATAATCCCTACACAACATTTACACAGTGGCGCAAGCAAAGACACAGTGACCTAACTCTGCCTTCAGAGTGTAAAATATGCCACCTGAGTATGTTTTTAGGATGAACCACATAGCATATAATATTTAAAAAGCTATTTTGATGGGACCATACTCACCCCATATTCCCATGAATATTGCAAAGAACACTGTTGACTCATTATCAAACAAATGGGCGAACTGTAAAAATAACAGTAACAACACAGAGACACTTAATATCCAACACAGTGCAAAAGAAGGGACATTGCAAGTCTTTTCAGGGTACCACCAGGTATATTTACCTTTGAAGCCCAGCAGGTGGTATTGAGTCTCCAGTAATCACACACTTGATCACAGAGTGGGCACATGATCATCTGACCACCAATGTTAGGGTCGCAGATTTCCATGCTACCCAAGGAAGAGTGAAGGTGTTTCAGATGTGGTGAGGCTGGAGATGAAAATCTAAGCTTATTCTTATCAGGACAACTGTTTTATAGCTTCTCACATGTAGTGGAAGGAGACAGAAAGCTGTAGTTTCTAGAGGGCGTCAAGGCATATTTTCAGGATCACATTTTCACAGCTCATTATTCAAGGGAGATTTTTCATAAAGCACTCAATGAGAGAAAATTGGTGTGTTTATCTTATCCTCAGAAATATCAATTATTTACTGACATAGACACCAGCCAAATGTCAAGGAAATAATAATAATAGACTCAGCATAAGATAAAGATGTTTTCTGTGGATATCATACCATCCTTACCTGCTGGGATTATTGTTCATTGATAGTAAGCCATAAATAAAGCAAGCTAAGCCAACCAAAGCTGCAATGAACAGCATCTCTGTGTAAAAACCAAGAAAGACAAAGTAGATAGCAATTTTTTCTCCATAATAATCCCTGTAAAAGAGAGTGAAAATAGAATCTGAAGTTAGCAGAATGCTTTCATGCAAGGAGCCTTAGCTTTGTGTTTAGAAAGACATGTGTTCTAATTTTGGATTCACTGCCTTCTGGTCGTGTAATTTTGGTAAACTTACTCACCTCTCTGGACTCCACTTTCCACATAACGAACCACAGAACGATACTTATCCCATAGTATAAGAATAGTTGTAAGACTTAAAAGATTAGCGTAAAGGAGAAGCCCTTGAATGGAATTTAAATTTGGGAAAGTAAGTCTGAAGAGCATCTTGAGTTTGAAGAAAGTAGAATTATTTTGAAATAAACTACAGAATGTTCTGAAATGCAACTTTGGTTAGTAAATGAAAGGCATCAAGGTTACAGTCATAACCTGCACGTTTTTTCTCTTTCCTTTTCTTTCTAAAACTGAAGAAGGCACTTTGACCAGGCTCTTCCTATGAATCTCAGTTTACTCCTAGTCTTTGCTATTCATCAGTCATGAAAAGACATTATAAATGAGTAAGTGAAGAATCTTTAAAATACGCAGCTCAGCATTTGTTGAGAAGCGACTGAGTTAATGAGCATAAATGTTCCCCTACAATGCAATTTTTTTTTAAAACTGAGTTCCTTTTAGGAACCTGAGAATGTAGTTTTCTCTGTCTCAGAAAACCAGGTTTTATTGAATTAAACTGGTTCATCCCTCTTCATTGCTATAGAGGCCAGCTAATCAAAATTGTGAGACTTCCCAGTTTCATGCACAGCAGAGATGAATTTCTTTTGAGTTCTAATAGCATATTATATACTTTGATGAAACGCTTAATATTAAATTGTAATTTCCACACGTGCTTTACATAAGGTGATACCAAACAAATGTTTCTCAACAAGAAGCATTTAACTTTGCTATTATATTATCTTAATATTATAAAAGTATTATAGTTGCTGTAAATATATTTATTCTACATAACTATGCAGCAATATATCTATTTCATTTTTAGGCATTAAGAAGTGCAAAATAGATGATATTGAAATAAAATTATATGAAACTATCAAAATGGAAAGAAAATAAAGGAACTGAAAGTGTATGTAAAATTGAAAACTGAAATGCCAGTAGATAGCAATTTTGGTAGTGATCAGTGCCCAGAAAACAGAAAAAAATCAAAGATATGTGGAGGTGGAATTGAATTTTGGTATAGAGATAATGTGAAATATGTAACATTTAAGAATTTTTAATTCCTTATTGTACATATTTAATATCCACTAGGACCCAGAGATGAAGTAAAAAATTTTTTCCTATTCTGCAGTTTCTTTTTCTTTTTGTCACCAGTACCTCAGATAAGATTCTCGATATCATTGGTGGAGATTTCAACAACTCCCCAGGCCCTCGGCTTCATCCTCACTCGCTGGGTGTCCTAACCATATCCCAGCAGCTTTCCTATCCCACGTGGAAAATTCTAAGAGACACCTTTATTTTTATTTTCCCTGGTGCAATAAACTGAAATATAATCAGATACAAAAAATATACTTGGTTTAAGTGCATGATTCAGTAAGTTCAAAGCCAAAGTTCATGGAACCACCATTCCAGTCACATGAGCAGCTCTTGTATCACTTCATAACCTTCCCTTGCACAGATGTCACTAACCCTTTCCTCCAGATCGAGTCCTGGCTCAGTACAATTCAAATTTCGCCCCTACAGTGTTGCATTTTCCAGAATACTCTTAAATAGAAATGCAGTGTATGTTTTTGTCAGTTGCTTATTTTTTCTAGCATAATGATCTTCAGTTCCCTTATTCGTTTTTCTAATTCTGAAAAATTTTTTGTTGGGATGTAAGATAATTTGTTATGTAGTCTTATGTTCAAGAATTTGCCTTGTTTCTAAGGTTTTATTATTCCTAAATTTCCATGAACATATGTTTCTGGGCACAAACGCTTCATTTTTCTGGTTAAACACTTGCAAATGAAACTGCAGGATCACAAGGAAAGCAGGCATTTAACTTTATAGGAAGCTGCCAAACTGCTGTGTAAACTTGCTGGAACATAATGTCCTCCCAGCAGCATGTGACAGATTCCAAGAGCTCCACTCTGCCACCAGCGTCTCCTGTCATGTGTCTTCCTGATTTTCGCTTTCCTGGCAGAGGTATAATGGTATCTAAACAACATTTTCACGTTTATTCCCCTAGTAAATAATATTATTGAAACTTTCATATGCTTATTGGTCACCTATAAACATAGTTCTTTGGTGAAACTATCTCACAATTCTTCATGCATTGTTAAACTCTTTTGTCACCTTACTGAGTTACAAGAGTTCCTTATATAATCTAAATAAAAGTCATTTAAGCTACAAATATATTCTACCAGTCTGTTGTTTGATTTTTGCAACTGCCTCATAAAAAAGCAAACATTTTGAATTTGTTTAAATCAAATGTATCAATTTTTGTTGTGTTTTTTCCCCCTGTCTTATCTGAGAAAATCACACAGAACCCAAGGTCATTTAGAGTTTTCTCCTCCATGTTCTTTTAAATGTCTTTGCAGTTTTATTTCCTATAATCTGATCCACGTCACATTAAAGTTTTCTACAGGAAAGGGTCAGTATTGGTGTTTGCTTTATGGATAACACATGTGAGCCAGCATCATTGAATGAGAGGCTGTAGTTCCTTCACTGAGTTACCAGGTATATTTATTGAAAATTAACTGATCATGAAGGTGTGGATCTATTTCTGAGCTTCCCCTTTTTCAGTCTTCATTTGTAAATTGTTTGAAATATCCAATAGTTTGCAAGAATAATTCAAAGAAAGTCCACAGATGCTTTGATTCTTTAATTGTAAACATTTTGCTACATCTGCATCCTCTCTTTGTCTCTGTCTCTCTCTCTCTTCCTTCCTGCCCCTTTTGAAAACAAATTGAATATACTGTGTTCCTGTACAGACAGTGAAATACTAAACATTTCACTGTTTTTTTTTTTTTTTTTTTTTTTTTTTTTTTTTTTTTTTTTTTTTTGTGGTACTGGGGATCGAACTCATTGACCTCGTGCTTGCCAGGCAGGCACTTATGCACTGAGCCAAAACCCCAGCCCTTCACTGTTCAGTCTTAAGAATAAAGTTATTCTCTTCCGTAACCACTGTAGACAAATTCTCCCCACAGTGGCTCTTCTCTGCATTTGCTGCCACTGTGAATGTAATATTTTCTCTTACGCTTTTTCAGTTACTTAAAGGTTTACACTGTTTTTACTCATTTACATTAGCTTTTCTTCTCCAAACATTTATTCAAAAATTAATTCCATGGTTGAAACTGAAACATAGGATAACTTGTTATACATGGAATTCCAATATAAGAAAAGGATGAAACATTTTTAAAATTATTGTTTAAGCTACATATTTGTTATCCCATGAAGTATCTGAGCTTTGTCTTTGCAGTAAAAGGAAATTTGCAAATATTCCAGTTATTCCAGATACTCCCTGCTGACTTGAGATGAAATGCTTCTGTGTACCGGGATTATGAAAACCAACTTCTGACAAATATATTTAGCATTGTACACTTACAGTAGACAGGTGAGTAATATTGGGTGAACAAATGGTGCAATACATTTTGAATAATGCAAAAGATGCAAACATCCATTGTGACAACTTTATTTGTTTGAAAATATCCTGCAAAAAATATTCTCCAACAGCAAAATACCTACTGATGTTCTTGCCAACACTAAACACAATAGTTAAAAATGTGGGACATCCCACTATTTGTATATAGAAAAATTAATAAATGGAACCAGGCATGGTAGCACACGCTTGTAATTCCAGCACTTGGGAAGCTGAGGCAGGAAGATGCTGTGAGTTTAAGGTCACACAGCAGGCTACACAGTGAGTTCAAGGCCAGCCTAAATTACATAGCGAGACCCTGTCTCAAAACACAAAGAACCCTAATAAATGTCTAGAAATTAGTAAGATTCTACATTGTTTTCCAAAAGTAGGAGACAGATCTTGATATGTTTACTGAAAAAGATACACATAATGTACATAGTGAAAAAAGGAAAGATGTCAAAAATTATGACAGCTACTTTATCAAACAATTACGTTAATAAGTGTCTAATACAAACATCTAACATGCTCTTGGCAAACTGTATTTGTGTATCATTTCTCTTGTGCAAGCACCAAAATCTTAGTGGATACTCCTAGACTTACTCCCAGATGTTTCTTCTTTGGTGTTCAATGAAGGTGGATTTTCCACTTAAAAGTTTGCATATTTCACTATTCCTTACATCTTTTTATAAATTTGATGTTTTGTAACTTAAGAATTAAAGTTCAGTTACATAAAAGAATTGAAACAGGCAGCCAAGCAAAAGAATTTTCATAACGACTTAGAAAACATCAGTATCTAAACTAGTGAGGATTTTCGTTTTTAGATGTCTCTTATTTGCCTTACACTGTTCCTATTGTCGACATTTCAATGTGTTGTGTGGATGAACCAAAATCAGTCTCAAAAATTGGGTGCTGAAATACTGCTGTACAAACACAGCAGTGCAAGAGTAAATGCGAATAATACAACAGCCTCTAGGAGCAAGCGGTCTGCAATTTAATAGTTCCTTTACCAAAATCGCAGTGAAAGTCTCTTAATATCATATACACTCATACATGCTATGAATGTATGGTTCATATAAAAACTGATATGCAAAGATATATTTCATAGTATATTATGCATATATATTTCAGATAAAAATATACAGATATGTTTCATAATATATATTATTCATGTATTTTTGAGATAAAAACAGTATTTATCTTTTCCTCAACAAAACCCTAAAGAATTAAGGTTACAAAACAAATTATTTTCCAGCTCTCTGAGATCATCACATGGACAAATATTAATGTACTGCTTTTCTCCTACGTTCTAAATTCTTGCACTCTAAATGAAAAACAAAACTAATAGAGACAAAATACACACATCTTCCTTAGTTATCAGATAATGCCCAAATGAAAGCACTAATATCATTTCCATCTTACAGAGAGCAAGTAAGCAAAGTGACCACATTTGAACAACTTTTGAGAGGCAGAACTTATATTTCAGAAGCTTTTCAGAAGTCAATCTGGTAAAACGCTAAGGCCTAGACTCTAAACCATCTTGCTGTGTCTGTTCCCTCTCAGAGATCTGGACAGTAATTTTCTGCTCCCTAGTAAAATATTGATCATTGTATACATAGGGAACAGAGAAAATGTAGAATGTAGTCACTGAAAATGGCAGTAAAAAATAACAATATGACGCCATGCTGAATAAGAATAACGTCAAATTTGAATTAGTATGATCTTGTGTAAGAAACTTACCTAATCAAATCCAAAGGCTGCTCCTTGTAAAAGTAGGAAAATCGAGCCCAGTTCTTATACAGTATGTGCCTTTCATTGACAGGATTTGGAGGTTCTGATGACTTCCAGTACTGGCCCTATAAATATTCAAGGAGACAATAACAAGGACAAAGACAAAAATAAAAGTTAAGTAAATGAGCACTCTTTCCTTTTTTTAAAGAGTACTAGTGGGCCAGGATAATCCCCTTTTTAATATTAATATTTTATCATTCATCATGTGAAATCTATCAAAAACTCTATTCATAGTGATTTACTCAGTTCGTAACAATTTTCTAAAAGTTCAAGTTAAAGGTTGAGACTTTGCCTTTGCTTAGCTCGTTCCTTCTGCCCAGAGTGTCCCTTCTTTCCCAATGAAATTTGCAAATGCCATTTCCAGCTCAGAGAGTGGTGTCACTATGGAGCTGGCTGAGGCTGTAGAAATATACCAGCAATTTTAATTTATAGATAGAAAAGTTAAATCTTTAGAGAATTTAAGTAGTGGATACAAGGCATACAGGTATAACAGAAAGAAACACTTGCCTTTACTCATGGGTCCTTATTGCTCCCCATTTCCCAACAAACTCAAAATTTTACAGCACAGTTTATCACTTGAGAGCCATCAGCATTATTTTTTTTTTATGTAATTCTTTGCTCATGGTTAGGTAATGAGCAGCTGTATCCACATCCTTTCATTGTCTAATATATATGTACCATGTACATAGTAGCTACTTTATAGATTATTTTCATTTGTGTAGACAAGTGAACTGCTAAAGGTACCTCTAAGAATACCCAGCGTAAAATGTGAAACTTTATAAGGTATAAAATTTTATATAATGTATCTTCCAACTTCATTCTTCTGCAGCCAGTTCCACTGAATCTTGAAAAATGAATTTTTTAAAAAATAAGAGTAATGTATTTGAGAATCTTGTAGAAAAGCACTTATCAAGCAGATAAGGGAAATTATGTTTCCTACATTTGCCTTCAGAAGAGACAAAGGCAAAAATAAGAGAGGAGAACAATTAGCTATAAGTTACAGCCTTCTCAAATGACAAATGAGTGTCCCTGAGTTTCCAAGGAACACGAGTAACTAGTGACACTGAGAAGCACAGGTTAAAATTGTGGGTGGCTGAGAATTTACCTTTGGTTGCGCAATATTGCACTGCAAGAAGGAAATACAGGCTCCAACACAAATAAATAAAAATTCTCACGATCTTCAAAGAGTAAGCTCTGCTGTGAAAGAAGACTGGCAGATAAAGTGCACCAATGGGTTTATTTATCTACTTTAGAGCTCTCTACGAATGTGCCTAGTATCATTTAGAATCCATGATTCCCTAAGGCTTTTTTTTCTTTCCTGAAGGGGAAAATATGTATGTGGGTTGGATGAGATTAGAGGAAGAAGGGGAATGATTGGTCTCTCTAACACTTAAGTTAGGTATACCTAGCTTGATACTTGTACTGAAAATAGTTACTGATTTTGAAAAATTCTACTCTACTACTCAAAATGCATCAAAATTAATAAGCTAATTAGGGCCAGGGTAAAGATCAGTGCTACAGTGATTGTCTGGCAAGCACAAGGTTCTGAGTTTGACTACTGTTACCAATAGTAATAATAATTGGCTAATTAATATTGACTGAGAGTCAGTTCTCCTCATTTTTATTAACAGAGAATGGCAGTATTCTAAATCCAGGGAAACCCGTGAGATTTGAGCCTCTGGAAGCTACTGCAACAATATTTCCTGCAAAAACCTGGCAATGAATGCCACTTGATTCTATGGAAACAACCATCTCTCCTATATGGCTGAGGAGGGTGCTTTTGCAATGAGAGTATATTGTAAAAAAAAAAAAACAAAACAAAAAACCTCTTCATATGTGAGAAAGAGTAAAATTGAAACAAAAGAAACAAAGCATCTAAAGGATGACTTCCTATATGTTCAGTCATGTGATTTCTACTGCAATGCATGATGGAATCCATACACTGACTATCCAGAAAGGCAAAACTAGGAAAAGCCTTGGATACCAGGTATGATCCCATGGGTGCATCACATAAAAAATCACAACTCTGTAGAACTTACAAGACTGAATACTTTTGTACAATGATATTCCAGCCTCCAGGAAAAAATTCTTCTGAATCTCATTTGTTAGTCTGAATGGTTTGTGGTGAACTGAAATCTCTAATTTGTAATGCACTTATATTCATGTTTTATTTCTAGGAAATTTCTAGCTTACTTATAATTCTGTACAATAACATCTAAGAAATGCATATGTAGATATATACATTATACAAATGATGAAATTAAAATCATATAATAAATGCATGCAATTAAAATTATTTAGAGTTTCAAAACTTTATGACAAAAGACCTGGTTGATGGATTCATTTAGAAATTTCAAATATTATAAATTTTTCAGTGTGGTTATTATTTTTGAAATAGATTCAAAACTGAAATATGAAATACAGCAATACTTAATAGTGAACTTTTAATACCTTCATTGCAAACAGTACCATGTATTTCAGCATCACTTGTGAAATTTTCAGTTGGGAACAAACAGGTCCTTTGAATATTTTCCATCATGAGCAAGAAGTAATCATCTGGATGGGGAATGCTAATAGAGATTTAATTTCTCCAAAAAGGTGCTCCCTGAATATGTAAGGAAGGGGGCCTGCCAGTTCACAGTTGAAATTGTACTTACATCATGGAGTGGGTAGGCAGATGAGTAAGTGTTAGAATTCAGCAGTCTTTCAATCCCAAACTTCTTTTTCCCATCTTCTACACCAAAAGGACACCGTGAAAGAATATAGTACACCTGAAAGGTAAATGCAGAGACACTAGCACCATTCAGATTCTTATGCTTTTAGGTTTTAGCCAGGTTTCACTAAGTCCATTGTGCCTGTGGACACAGAGCATGACTGTAGAAGGAGGGTTCCCTTCGTTATTAGGGGGGAGAAGGAATCATGGGGTTGCGTGGCATATGCAGGAATTTAGCTCACGGCTCTGAGAGCTCCCCATTCTAACGGTGGGTGTGAGGGCAGATGGGCCTCTGTTCCTTTGCTCCCTTGTTCCAGCTCCTCTGTGAGCCTCTCATGCCAGAACTCCAGCAATAATCAGTGTTTCGAGTTGGAGTCTCAAATCATCACTAATGAATAGTTCACTTGGAGAAATGGCGGCCAGGACTAACACTTAGCTGTGCTGTTTTGAGCATTTCTTCAACTTATTATTTGATGATCATATGAGGCCTTTACTGGCTATTATCTTGAGTTAAATTTATGAATACAGGTTATTGTATCCTTGTGACCACTCAGCAATGCCTTGTATCTCCACATCCCTTTTGCCTTGCACTCAGTTCAGGCCGTGGTGTCTCAGCACCCGTGCTTCTATCCACTCGACCTCACCTGCTGCCTGTCTCCCAGCACCTGTTCAGAATTTCAACCTTTCTGAGGACAAAGTTCTGAGGACTTTCAGCACCATCTGAGATAAGTTTGCCTTTCTTTAACACTTATTTCCACTTTTCTTGTACATTTCATCTGCCAAAGTGTGGAGTGGAATGGATTTTGTCTTTAGACGATTATTATCTAACCTGTTAATCCATCCTAAAGGTATCTTAATATTCCATTTCAATGAAGGAAACTTATTTACAGCTTTTCATTTAATGAATAATGTGATAAATAAAAACCATTTTATAGACTTTGGAGTATCTGCTTAAGAAATTCAGAGACAGCAACTCTGAAGTGGATTGTTACCAAGTGGAAAATTTACCCCACCAGCTATAAAAATGCACTATAAACTACAGTAATAAGTATTGTATTTTCAAATAAAAAGAAACCTCAATTTGGCTTTAAAAAGAAAAGAATTTCTTACAAAAACTGTTGTGAGAGAGAGGGAACCAAAGCAAAAGGAGGAAGAGCCAGGAGAGCTGCAAACAGCTGAATGGTTAGCAAGGAAAGGCTCTTGTTTGTAGGTGAGGGCCAGGCCATGTCCCTTTCTGTGTGAGGGCAGTACCCCTCCGGTCAGTGCTAGCACACAGCAAGGTGAGTCACAGTCCATTCCCCACCAGGGTGAGAGGAGCTGACTTAAAATGTAGCCAAGGCAGCCAACAAGAGCTTTGATGGATCAGAGGAGAGAAAAGTGCAACTCACCGCTGGATGAAATAAAGAGAATGCGTATTTGGAAGGATCATTTTGGCTTTTATTTTAGTAACCAAGTAGTTACTAAAGATGCTGTAAGGCAAAGTACAGGCGTAAAAGAAGCAAAGTTTGCCTACCTCCCAAAGGGAAGCCCCCTTCTCCCTTTTCTCCAAGTATTTCCTTTAGAGAAGTTTTAACTGTAAGTTCCTTCTCCCTTTCCAAGAGATGAGTGGGAATCCTTTTAAAAATGGAACAAGCCTTGTTAGTTTAACAACCCAGGAAAGTTTAACTTAAGATTTTAAATAGTTATCCAGAAAGCTAGGATCTTCCCTATATCTCTGTGGTAGTTTAGCTTGGGGACTTAGCTATATGTGGGACTACCAGATGACATAAAGATATGTTTCATATATGTTTTTTATAGTTGATTAACATCATCAAACATTATGATTACCAGGATGGACTACATGTTAAATGGCATTGTAATGTCAAGCTGGCGAGGTGGCAGGAGTGCCTGTAAGTATTCTACAAGTCGTGTGAAGAAGAGTGGCTCTTTTCACTAAGAGTTTCACAGAACAAGAAACACAGGGTATTTATCTGTCTCTGTTTTCTAAGATTTTAGAACACAGGTAAAGGTTAACATTGGTAAGCTGAGACAAAAAGACGTAGAGATTAATAGAGCAGAATAGATCATTGCAGGACACAGTGTGTAAAATAAATGTGAAAACTCTCAGAATAATAATGAAGTTGTTTTGGTCAACCCTAAAAACATGAGAAGTACATAAAAGTGACAGGGTATAAAAGAGAGGATCTTATATATGTTGACTTCATAACAAATACCACAAATATCATAATGAATATCACAAAAGACCATTATGACCATCAGCCTCCAGAAGAGCAGCCACAAACTTGTACAAAAAGAATTTCCATAAAAACATCTGCCCAGCACATGCGTTTTCAACCCCAGGGTGATGCCACACTTGCTAAATCACTGTGGCCAATGATTATTGTTTCACAATATCTGACATAACTCTTTTCATTTTCATCTTTAGAAAGAGCCCCTGGCCTCAAACTCATGGAAAACACCCACAGTTTGCCATGAAGATGTGATTGCCATTGCAATGCTTTGCTATCTGTTCCCAAATAAATATCTTTACTCCTTGACAAAGCTCTGAATTTTTTAAAAAAATTAGATAGGCAATAGATACATGAGTTATGAAAAAGCACCAGCAAAAAAAAAAAAAAAAAAAACCAAAAAAACCCCCAGAATTTGAATGCTTTTAGTAATTACAGCACATTGGCTGACCATATATACTCATATTGTAAAAAACTGACTTCCGTTTGTTACCAAGCACAAGAATTATTAATTACAGGTTGAGCAACAAAAGCTGAAAATACAAAAAGTAAAATACTGCAGGCATACTTTAGAGATACTGCACAATAAAGATCAGACCACCACAATAAAGTCGATTACAAAAACTTTTGTTTCCCAGTGCACACAGAAGTTATGTTTGCACTACAAAACAGTCCATTAGTACAATAGTGGGGTGTCCAAAACAACCAAGGCATATACCTTAATTAAAAATAATGATAAAAAGGCCAACAATCATATGAGTCCTAAGAAGTCATTTGCTGGCAGAGGGTCTATCTGGTCTGCCTGCATGCTGAGGGCTACTGACCTCCTGACCTACCAGAGTGGCCTTGGATGAAGATTGGGCTGGATCTGGCAAGCCCTAAAAATAAGACGAAACTTAAGTTCATTGCTTGATGGACTTTTTATTTCAGGAATGATTTGTCTGTAGCATGTAATGCTTCTTGATCGCATTTTACCTAGAGCAGAATATCTTACAAAACCAGAGTCACCACTGTCAAACCTGACTACTGATTCATCAAATAAGTTTCTGCAATATTCTAAATCATATATTGTCCTCTCAAATTTGTGAGCAGCATCTTCAAGAGGAGTGGTGTCCAACTCCATAAAGCACCTAGTTTATTAATCCAAAAGGAGCAACTTTTCATCCATTAAGGTTTTTGTGTGTTTTTCTTTTTATTTTATTGGTACATGATAGATACATGTAATGATCACATTAATCATCAGGATTTTGCTTCTACCTGTCTGTGATACAGCTTGCTTCTTTTTTTCCCGTTAACGTTTCATCATACTGTTATACCACTTCAGTCCCATTCTCAAGGTTCACTTCTTTTTTCTCTCTTTTTTTGTCTTTTTCAGACAGGGTCTTGCTGTATAGTTCAGGTAGCCCAGGCTGGTCTTGAATTTGCAATGATCCTCTTGCCTCAGCTTCCCAAGTGCAGGGATTATAGGAGTGCACCACCACAGCCAACTCAGGCTTCACTTTTAATTCTGGTTCTCTTGCTACATCAGATACATCTGCAATTACTTGAAAGTAGGAACCAGCCGCTTTGATCTCCTGATAAATGTTCATGTTTTGATCTCCCATGAACCAGGAACAAAACGGCACGTAGAGTGGTGAGTCTGCTTCAGACAATTTTCAATTTACTTTGCCCAGATCCATCACAAGGATCACTGTGTCTAGCAGCTATTGTCTTACAAGATGTATTTGTTAAATAATAAACATGAAGACCAAGTCATCCCTTTTTTCCTTGGGTTGAAGAATGAAAACTGGATGTCAGGTAACCAGCATGAAAATGGGGTTTTCTTCGTACCTCTCCATTATGCCCCTGGGGTTATTAATGCATTGTCAATGATCAGAAATATTTTGGAGATCTATTTGTTTGTTTGTTCGTTTTACCTGAGCAATATGGTCTGAAAATATTCAGTTGAAAATATTCAAACATTGCAGGCTTGTCCAACCTGCAGCTCACAGGCTGCTACTGTCTTTTCTTAAAAACCCTATAACAAAAATACCTGAAAATAAAAGAAATTTTGCTAATTATACATTTTAATTATGCTACGAATTTGATCTGTGACCCAAGACGATAACTTCTCGCTCACAGTGGCCAAGGGAAACCAAGAGGTTAGACAGTGGAGCTTTTTTTTCCCACTGATAGAACACAGGCAAGGATTTTCTGCAAGTCACCAGGGCTCTGGGAGGCTCAGAGCACTAAGTGAGCACTGTCTTCAGCTTTAAATCTGCATTAGCACTTCATGGAGAGCCTGTCTGCCTTCGACGATTCAAGACTCCCTGTCTTCTCTGATTTATCTATCAAACTCCTAGGTGGTGTCTTCTTCCAATACAAAGCTGTATCACCTACGTTAGATTTCTGTCATTTAAAGTATCCGCCTCCTTCTAGTATCTGAGCTAGGTCTTTTGGGTTTTTGTTTTTGTTTTTTGGTACTAGAGACTGAACTCACAATCTCGTGCTTGCTAGGTAGGTGCTCATACCACTGAGCTAAATCCAAAGCCCCATCCTATGGATGAAGTACTTCCTGCATTTGTTCATCAGCATCTGCTACTCTCCCCGGCGGCACTTTTGTTATGGAGAGCCCTCCTTTCCCTAAACCCTACAGAAGCTCTGCTGGATTCAGGCTTTTCTTTACAGTTCCCTGTGCTCTCTCATCTTTCAGGGAATTCCAGGGCATGTCTTGCTCTCAGTTTGGCTTTGCCTTCAGGAAACAATGATGCTGCATGGATCTTCCACTTGGACTTTCCCCAAACCAGCAATCAGGAGGTTTTGAGTTGTTATCACTTGTCTGCTGACTGGAGCAGCACTTCACGTTTCCCGAATCGTAGCTCTTCTCCTTTGCATACATAGAGAGTTCCACTGGTCCAGGAGGCCTGGCTTCTGGCCTGTCTCGGGCTTTGCCGAGCCTTCTTTACTAAGTTCAGTCATTTATAGCTTTTGACTTAAAGTCAGGGAGGCATCACTGTTCCTCTCACTGGAGCAGGCAGAGGTAAATGCAAGGTCGGTAAGTGGCCAGATTTAAAGAAATCCAGACTGCTTCAGGGAATAGGAGAGGCCATGGTGGATGTGGGCAGCCAGAACACACATGTGTATCAATGAAGTAATCTCTGTGGTACCCCCAGCACTACAATAGTGACATCCAAGACCTCGAATCACAGATACACATAACAGACACACACATGTGTATCAATGAAGTAATCTCTGTGGTACCCCCAGCACTACAATAGTGACATCCAAGACCTCGAATCACAGATACACATAACAGACAATATAAAGATGAAAAAGCCTGACATATGGCAAGAATTACTGAAATCACAGAGAAATGAAGCAAACGTGAATTTAGAAAACCAGCACCAATGGATTTCTCGGTATAGGGTGGTTGTAACTTGAAACTTGTAGAAAATGCAATATTTATGCAGCACAACTAAGCAGAAAACAATCAAGTGAAGTACACTAGTATTAAGCAACAAAAAATGTTCCACTTGGATGGACAGAAACTGACTTAGGTGTACCATGAGAGCCAGTTCTGTATCTCTGTAGTTAAACTGATGAGATTGTTTCTTACCTGTTTCTCTCTTTAGACACACAGAAATTCCTTAGCCTATCTGCCTGTCTGCCTGCCTGTCTGCCCGCCTGTCTGTCTGTCTGTCTATCTATCTATCTATCTATCTATCTATCTATCTATCTACCTAAGAAATAAAGAGAAAAAGGAAGTTAGATGTTATGGTGGATGGGCAGATGCTTTGAAATGAGTAAAACTCCATCCTAATGACAATGTCCTTGTCTTTGCATTTGAACACACAGAGACTACAATGTCCTGGTTGAAGCCAGGAGGAAAGGGACTTTTCTATGTTAATCTTCCAAACGACTTCCTAATAGGACAAATAATACTTCTCCTCTATAAATTAAATGATGAATTAGCCTCGGTATTGCCACTATTTATATGGAACGAGAAGAGGTAAGGAGATAGTTATATTTCTATCACAGATCACACCCATAATTCAGCCCTATGCAGGCACTTGTCTTTGATTAGCAGACTTAAAGAAGCACGTGTTTCACCCAGGTCCCGCTGTAACATCAAGATTGTTGTTTCCTCTCTTACAAAAGTTGTCTCATTTAGAAAGTAGCAGAGTTATAACTTGCCACAAGATCTTCTGACTGTATGTCATATACTCGTTATTTCCTTAAAGATTACCTCTTACGCTTTTTTGTTGTTTAATTCTGTTAGGAGAAAAAATGAAAGTTTTTACAGTTTATACATTCTATTTTATATCAAAATTCTAGAAAATATATTTTATGTAGTATTCTTGCAGCGAATTTTTAAAATATTGATTTAGAAACTAGGAGAAAAATAAAATCTTCAGGAAAAGAGACTATACACAATTTTAAAGGGAAGAGTCTTGTGATTGTTGGGAAACAGATAGTTGAATTAATAAATGACTTATGCAGTATTTGAGCAACATGAAACCAGAAATTTTTCTTCTGACATCAGATCAATAGTGATAACACTGACAATGAAATTATTTATACAAGTCAGGTGCTATCCAAAGCTTTTCACATTTTGTTTATTCCTGAGCATAACCTATGACATGGATATTATTCTCTAAGCATAAAGAAATACTGATTTTTAGATGAGAGATTTTTAGTAGGAAATATACAGAACCCAGGATTACAAATGGATAGGAAATATTATTATTGAAAGGCTGTATATAGTTTGAAGTAGGAAAAGGCAAAGTTCCAGGGCTTCTCAAAGTCTGCTCATATGTAAAAGCTTAAAATATTCAATTTTTACTTAGAATGAGCAATATTTCTCAATACACAGTTAAATTATAAAACCAGCTTTTAAAAGTATAAATGCTATTTATTAAATTTATATAAAATTAAAAAAATAACCTCTGCTCCTCAGTTAAGTGCCTTTTAGGACTGCATGGTATCTTTGACACTATTGTATCAACACTGTCACCTCATTTTGCAGGGCACAGATCCCTGGGTTCAACTCACAACCTTGTGCTTGCCAGGCAGGCACTTCTGTCTCTAAGCTAAATCCCTGGCCAGCCTTTTATTTTTAAACCACATTTTGAGAATTAGCGAAATTAACAGATTAAGTGGACCCCATAGACTTTCCAGTGTGCTCAACACAACCAAATACTTCTCTACAAGAACACCTTACAGACTTGTGTTGCTCATGCCCAGAAATAAAGGCACAAAAGACACACATGCCATACTGGAGAGATGGGACCCAGCTCTTTACTACTTACAATTCTGTTTCTCGATGAGGATTTGAAGAAGGTTGATTTGTCGTCAATGAGGAAGAGCTCCTGGCGATGTCTGTTGAACTGGACAGTGAAATATTCAGGACGAGGATACTTCACACTCTCGGGAAGCTTCACAGGTGTGAGCATGCAGTTAAAAGGCTTGTGCTCCGGCCGGGGAATGTCACTCTCCTGAATAGGCATTTTGATCCCCAACACTTCTGCATAGGTAGCTAGTACCTCCCAAGGAGCATGGATCTTGACAAAGTAAGTTCTTCCATCCTCAGAGTCCTGCATGAAAGAGGCCGGAGAACAGAAAACTTGCTGAGCTGATTAAAGACAAGCAAGCCTTATAAAAATGTTCAAAGGTGTCACAGAGTTTTCAGCAAAAATTTAGAAAATGAATGTGTTAAAGAGTTTTCAGCAAAAATTTAGAAGAGTTTTTAATGTGTTAAAGAGTTTTCAGCAAAAATTTAGAAAGTGAAATGCCCAAAGACATATGTATATATGTGTGTAAGACAGAGAGAGAAAAAACACAGAGACAGAAAAAGAGACAAAGACAATCAGAAACAAAGAGATCATAACTTGAAGAATACAGTGCAGGTTCAAGGTACACTGTGCCCTAAATCCACAACTATATATGTGGTTCTGGGTAATAGTTTAAATTTTAGTGCTGAGATACCATTTCGTAATTTTGTAGAGGTTACATACAAACTATAAGATGTTCTTACTCTTCTAACCCAGCTTCTGTATTAGCCTACACGAAGAGAAAGAACTTTAGATAATAAAGGTTAGTTATGTAGATAAATAGTTAAGTAAACATTGTGTGGTACAATATACATTTATTGGTTCAGTAAAGACAGAGAAATAAGAACAAACGTATATTAGAGTTAGTGGTAGAAGTGGCATAGACGGGCAAAATTTTAAATAGGTCTTTGAAAACAACTGCGAAGGAAATTCTAGAAAAATGGTAAATGAAATGAAGTTGAAAGAAACGGAAAGAAACTGGCATAATCACGAACAGTATCCTGGATTAAATGGTAGGTTGTACTGTGTCTTCAGCTTTCTTACTCCCTGAATAGAAGGGCTTGTACATTGTAAAGTCCTACTCAGGTCTATGACCTACTGACCTACAAAATCACAAGCCAGGGCACACACCTGTGACCAAAAGAATTATACACTGCCCCAAACACAAAATCTAGCTAGTCAACATCAGAAGAGAAAACAACAACACTTAATAAGTAAGATTCTTGCATAAACCATCAGATATATTTACCCTTTTGTCTTCAATTTCCAGTTCAAGACCTGATTTTCTGAGATTTTGTTCAAACTCTTTTCTTCTTTCCTATGGCAAGAGAAAAGAAGAACAAAACAGGATGATGTAAAATGCAGTTCCTAGAGCAATTCAAATTCTGCCTACTCACCAAGAGTAGCTGTCCGCCTCTCACTCTCTTCCTCTTGCTCATACCTTCAAATAAATTGTCTTTTATTAAAAAATACTCTTATCTTTTCCCAGTGCTAAGCAAATGCAATATACAACGGCTGTAACTCAAGATTGCCTCTCTCATGCTGTGTATAAAGATTTTCCTTGTAATTTCCATGAACAAGTTTTTACATGTTACAAAACTGAACATACGTATAAAAATACAACGGATTTGTAAACAATCTCTAAGCAATATTCAGAAACTCTCTTCAAAGATACATATAAAATTTTGTATGTTATGTTCAATAACATAAATTTGTATGTTATGTTCAATAACATAAATTTTTAAACACACTCATAAACAGAGATATCCTGCTCCCAGCTAGAAAGACTCAAGCTTGCAAAAATCAATACTCTTCATTCAATAAGCCATCAATGTAATGCAATGGTAAGCCAAATTATCAAGTCAACTTTTTAATCTTGATGGACAGACTGGCTTTGCTTAGAAAAAGCAAAGATAAATTTTACTACAGGTCATTACTGCGGATAATCCTAACTAGGATTTAAAAACAATGTATTGATGGTCAGAATTACCTTTGGCAGGAAAAATTTCAGAGTGACTAATTGTTTTTAAAATCTTCAATATTCTTTCTAAAATATTCATCTTCAAATAAGCATGTCTACCTTGAGATTTCTCTGTACTTTACAAAGAATAAAATTTTATGTTATTATTGGTATTGGGAAGTGAACTCAGGACCTTGCACTTGCCAGGCAGGTGCTGTGACACTGAGCTATTTCCCTGACTCAAGAATAAAATTTTGATATTTGTTTCTCTGCCTCCAATATTAATGAGAATAGGTTTATGGTAATAGTACAAGGTCTTCTCCCTCATAGCTTTTCATATGTACCCTTCTTCAAAATAAGACAGATTGCAATTTTCAGAAAACCAAACAGTTGCTAAATGGGGGAATACTTTCAATGTACTGTTTTCAATACTGATAAAATGATTGGCTCTTTCTTTAATACAGAAACACATGCTTTTGGGGCTGGGGATTTAGCTCAGTGGCATAAGCACCTGCCTTGCAAGCACGCATCATGAGTTCGATCCCCGGTACCAAAAAAAAAAAAAAAAATGCTTTTGTTAATCAAATGGCCACAGCTAATGCAAATATAATCTGACAGATCAATAAACATGATACTAAACATTAAAGCACTTTGTAATTTTGGGATGGAGTCAAGAATTTTAAAAATATTGACAATTTTATAATAATATGTGCATTTAAATCTTCTTACTTACCTGAACAATTTTCCTCTATATTAATATGTTATACTAACCAGTATAGAGAACAATGTTAATGCCCCTCTATCTCATTAATCAATTCATTTATAATGTATTTATGTTTTATATTTAATCATCACTTGGCAGATTTTGTAATCTTTACCATTTGTAATCTTTACCAGATTCAGGATGCTTTACCAACTAAGCACTCATGCCATTATAAAACTAATTCTATGTAAGATCAAAGTTTAAGACTTCAAGTGTTACAGCTGAAGATAATAAAATCATTTCAATCAATATACTATTTTCCTTATATCAAAGTAATGACAGAATGAACAATAATGTGCTTCTGAGGACAAAGCATTTAGATTACAAAAGATCATGTATGGTAAGTAGAATGGGGACTTTAAGTGGAATAAAAAAATAATCAAAATTTCAACTATTAAAGAGTTTCTGCATATATTATAAAATGAATGATAGTGTGTGTCCAATTTCCATGGCATTGGTTTCCTATGAATCCAAACAGAAAAGGAATTTAGTGGAATATTTATAACATGTTTTAAGTCATCCCTTGTAACTACTGAAGTATATGGTGAAAGATTATGCACAGCAAAGATTTATAAATGATTTAAGGTTTTGGGGGAAGTTTAAGGGTAAAACTATTGAGTTCCTGATGTCTGTAAGATTTTAAAACAGAGAAGTATTAAGTTATGCATTTTCATAGAGAAGTTTGGGCTGGAAAAGTGAACTTTGTTTTTACCCCAAATATGGTTTTAAATCTGTGAAGCAGAATGATATCCTCACAGAAATCAATGCAAGTTAAGCTAACAATTAAGAAATATCATCTTCAGCACTACAATAAGGGCTCCAAGAGAAGAAAACATTGAGAAGATGCATATATAATAAAGAAGAATTAAGAGAACATTAGCATTTAAGGAAAAAATAATGTAAATGTAATTATCACCAGTGGCATTTCACCCAAGAAGAAACATTTTCTTTTTACCCTAAAATATACAACAAACTGTTATTGACTTCTGTATTAGGATTCTCTAGAGACACATGATAAGCAGCATGCATATACACATAAAGAATTTTCTATTAAAAATAAAACTAAGAGAATGAGGAGTCTTGGTAGCCAGGGGAAGAACGTACTGAACAAAGAAAGGAAGGATCCAACATGTCAAAAGTTAAGAGGTCAAATAGGGTCAGAGTCATAGCTTGACTTTATATGTGTGTGTACAGTGATCAGGATGAAGGCTTGAAAAGAACGGGTTTAAGAAAAAACTGACAGAAAGGAATCTGAGAAATGGGAAGCAGTGCCACTGGACAGAGCTGCAAAAGATCCCCCAAAGACTAGGTGGAGACTTCAATTTGCCCTGGATAGTTTCTTAACTCGTTGCAGGAAAGTATTTCAGGTACATTAGTGAGAGGCATGGGCACAGTTAGGAAGCAAGAGGAAATGAGAAGAGATAGCCTTAGGAGCAGAAGGGAGAACAGTTCCGATAGAATGTGTCAGAGCTTAAGAACAGCTGTTCAGCACACAGAGGGAACTGGCATTTATGGAGATGGCATAGACAAGGGTATGGTGGATCATTGTTTTAGGTCTGGTCTTGCAAAATGGCTCCAGGAGAACTCCTCTTGTCTTAATCTGGTCTCCATGAGATGAACGATTGTGCTTGGAGAAGTCTATTATGCCAAGGCTCTGCAGAATCCAAGATAGTTGTAGGTCTGCACAAGGATTAGACAATTCTTCACACTCACTGGTATTTTTGTATTCCCATTAAACCCATATCTTGGTGTTTTTGTCTTAAAAAGAGGATGAGATATGTCGTTGGGTTAGAGCCCATCAACTTTGTATTGCCAACCATAGATTCCTCCAGTGATTAATGTGACTGAGCAGAGTTGAGCGGGAATCTCTCACCAAGTTTTAAGATAATAAAAGAGACAGAAACAAAAGAAAATCAAACTTCGTTCTGGTCTTAGTTACCTATTAGGAATCTGTAGGACCAAGTGAAGAAGAATCACTGTTTTTTAGCAACAAACATTTTGGAATTCCTGTTTCAGAAACACACACACACACACACATACCCCACATGCTTTTAATGAGTCAAAGGCCAGGGATCTGACTAGGCTGGAGTCTAACTGGTGATCCTCCTAACTGGTGATCTCCTAACTGGAGATCCTATCTCAGTTTCCTGAGATACTGGGATTACAAACATGCACCACTGTACCTCCAATAGGTTTTTATTCTATTTCTTGTTGGTTTTTAATACAGAAAAATTATATTTTTTGCCTAAGGAAATAGTTTAACATAAAACAGCACAAAATATAATTTGAAAGAGAGGAGTATTGCAAGAACAAAAGTCTTTAGGTAGGTGTACAAAAGCAATTAAAACCAGGTATAAACTGCTCTTCTGCCTGTGGCCTTGGACAGGTGGGTCCTGGAGTCTGGGCTTTTGATTTTCTAGGGGGAACTTGCTACCCTCAGAACTGATAAAGGTGATTCATTTTGCCTGAACACTCGTCATACACTGCTGCTGGAGAAGTTAAGCATATTCCCAGAACATCCTTGCACCCGTTTTTCCCCTGGACTTTACTCCATGACTCTCTTCTCCATGCTGCTTCTGCTTTGCATCGCTTCACTATACTAAAATATAGCTCTGATGACTGCATGCTGAGTCCTGGGAATCTTCTAATGAATCACTAATCCTGACTGTACTTCTGAGGTTCTGCTGCATAGTAAAGAAGAAGAAATAAGACCCAATGCACAAGTGGAGAAGTTAGCTTTGACAGATGGACAAATACTTGTTCTGTGATGTCAAGAAGGAAGCAGATTAATTAGGGGAAGATGCTGGTGGGTGGTAAGATGCGAGGGGAGGAAATGCACAGAATTTCCTTCTGCTTGTTTCAGATTTCTCCCTGAAAAAGAAAAGTGTGGAAATCTTTGCTTGGAGATGGGGAGGAGGCCCTGGAGGTGTGAGGGGAGAGAATAAGTCATTAAACAGGTATCGGGGCACTGGTAGACAAGAGGATAAATGGTAAAGTTGATTCCCAGACAGCATTACAGATCACTAAAGTCATGAGTGCAGGGTAAGGTGAGCAGTGAGCTGCATGTCTTTATTCTGGGGGGTGCTAGCAGGTCAGGAGTTGGTTTTAACTGAAGGTGTTGCTTTGTCAAGTGATTACATTGACAGGGGGCAAGGGATTTGATGCCAGATGAAACAGAGTGGACATAACTTTTGACCATCAGACTTCTGCTGAACAAAGATGGGAAAGGAAGATAAAAAACAGTGAAATGCTGGTTGTGTCTCATCAGGCCCTGGTGAGACTGAAAGAAGAACACTGTGTGCTGGAAGTACCTAGTCAAACAGTTGGACACCTAGGATGATATTAAAAAGGACTGCAGGTTTTAGTAGTTACAAGTTTCAGAACAGTGACGGCTCACTAAGATTACTGGAAAGTGAAGCTTGAAGAACAGAAAATCCAGGGTTCCTACATAACTCTCTTCACATGTATTGAGACCATCCACGATTTCAAAAGAAGTATCAGTGCAGAAACTGACAAGAGCATTTTTTTGTAGAAAAATAAAACTGTTCTTTAGGATAGGATAACAATTACAACAACTCAAGGCACTAATTAATGTGATGAAATTCATAGCTAAGGAACTGTAAAGCAAAGTAGAAAAAAACCCAGTATAATCAACAAGAAGATACAAGAGGGCAATCTGTCTGTCTGTCTGTGTGTCTATCTATCTATCTATTTTGAGATGTTAGTGATCAAAGCCAGGCTTTGTATATGCAGGACAAGGATTCTGCTACTGAGGGAGGACCCTGTGTTCCATGCCAATTGCCACCAAAAACAAAAACCAAAACAAAACAACCCATGAACATGCAAACAAAGAACAGGAGAAAAGGAAAGAAGAAAGATGGTAACCGGTATTGATCCCATCTCATGGAGAGGCTATGGATGTTAAACATCCACTACTTGAGAGAGTAATTTGGAGAAACAAACAAACAAACATTCTGGAGTTACAAGAACTCTTTATGAATGACAATAATGATAGTCTATGAAATTTGGGGGCATGGTAGAATGGTTTCCAGGCAAAAGACAGAAGGATTATAAGTCTGGCATCTTGTGAGGATAATAGCCATAGTTCTATTTATTCATATGCATTTGCTTTTTAAGTATGTCAATAAAGTGTGTGTGCACATACACATATACATATATAAGCTTATACACAAAGATTATTATTTCACATGCAGAATACTTGTTGAGTATCCATTACACACCAATCACCACTCTGGGTGTCTGGGTATATAGCAATGAAGAAAGCAAACAAAGCATTTGGCCTCCTGAATTTAATTCACAAGACAGGAAACAAGTGAAAAATAAGTGAGCACACAATAGAAGTTCAGAAAGTGACAGTTGTTACAATGACAATCATCTAAGGCCAGGAAGGTGATTTCAGGTCAGATGGATCAGCCACATATTCTCAAAAGTAAAATTCCATACAGAAAGTAAATATTCGGAAGCATCCCTCCTATTTTAGAGGTCACATTTAATAACTAACATGCAAAAATAGTATCAACCACTTGCAAGAAGAAAAAGAATGGAATCTCAATACCCCCAAAATAAAATGGACCTTACATAACATCCATTCTTGGCTGCCTATTTTGTGGTCACCTGTGTTTCAGCTTCCAGTCAAACTCCAGATGACACTGCTCCCTAAAATGCCACTTAATGTAGGTAGCCACTACAATTCTACAGTAAGTACTTTGAATATCCCCCTCTGTCTCAGGTAAGCACTTACCGCTTTTATGTCTGCATCTTTCTTTATGTCATCAACATAGGAAAGTACGTAATCAATTTGCCTGATCCCGTCTCTGAAGAAAATAGAATCTTTGCTTTGTTTACTCTTTTGAAACTGCAAGAGACACAAATGACATGATTTTACATTACTGCTTATTCTCAAACAGCAAAAACTTCAGGGCTTTGGAAAACTGTTTCATGATGTGATTTTGTTTTTCGGTCTTGAAGTGAAAATTTAACACAAATAATGAAAGATTTCATGAACAAAAGATTATATCTATTGTAAAAAGCGAAATTCCACTCAGAGGAAGTTAATCATATTAATTGTAAGTACACACAACGATGTCACAATTGCACAAAAACACAAACTGAGTATGTGCAAACACTGGTTCTAGGCATAAGCAGGCAGAGCCTTGTTATCTAAAGACACCTCACATCCATTAGAAATAATTAATGGCAGCTTACTGCCAGAGGAATTAGTGGGATCTCACTGGGATAAAGTAAACGTACGTTTAATGTTTACAGATGTTTTTTACAAAATTTCCACTTTCTAATTCAACTTTTAAGGTATGAAAATAAAATCAAGGTGCAGTTAGAAATTAGAAAGCAGGCAATCAGTCTGCTATCTCATGAGAAGTCAGTTCTCATGGAAATCTCCCTTCAAACTCAAATTCTCAAGGTGGGCCAAATCTTTTGATTAAACTTGGGTGGACACTCTCAATATAATAATCACACTTACAAGTTCAACTTTCATATGCTGTATAATCCATTAATTCCTTCCCTTTAAATATGCCAACCCCCCCCAAACTAGAAAGCCTTAGAAAGATTACAAACCAAAAAGAAAAAGAAACAAAACAAAACTCATTGGTGCTCTCAGAAATCATCATAACATTAGCATAATTTATGAAGTTCACTAAAATTTATGCAATCCAATGAGCAGAAAAAACTAACTAGACTAATTGTAAATAAAGGAAATGTACTGGGGAAGCTCTACTTTGTATGATAAAATTGTCTTTAAGTGACTGGTATTTTTACCAGTGTTAGTTTAGGAAAGCTAAATCTAAGGGAAAGGAGACATACAAAGAACTGAACAAAAATCACATGCAGAGGATTTGAAAATTAGACAATGACAAAGTAGTTAAATGAGTAGTGACTCCGTACTTCTTTAAAGTGAACTATCAAAAAGGCATGTATGACTCCCTTCTGAAAGTCAAGGGCCACCAAGAAAACCCAAGCTTCTGTATTTATGTCAGGCCCTGACTTTAAACTGTATTTCCTCTAAAAATACAGAAAAAAAGTATTATTAGTTTTTAAAATTACCCTAAGATGTAAGTCTTAAGTTGTTAACGAAAATTGATTAAAGATAACTAGGGTGGTTATATGTAATTGAATAAATTAATACACATCAGTCTTTTGTTTTGCTCAAAATGTGACATAAGATCATACTTTGAAAGATGTGTAAGTTTATTATTGTGTTTGGTTTGTCCTTAGAAATGAGCATTTATAATTACACAAGCACCCAATTCTTCTGAAATTCCTAAACCTATTTTGCTGGCAGGGATTCACAGACTCTTAAGCTGTAAATGCTATGTGTATATTTCTGCATGACTGTGCAAGTACACATTTTAGGAAGTGGGTTCCTAGGTCTCAGTAGAGCCCTAGGATCACCACTCTCGCACATCAATTTCCTGGGAAGTAGCTGTCTGTGACCAAGTGCCCTAAATCACCAGTATGTGCTGGAAGAGAAGTGGTCAGAGTTACAATTGAGCCATCCAGAGCATAAGCAGCCTCATTCAGCAGGGTTTACCATAAGACGTCGCCTCAGGAACAAATTGAATCGCTTTGCGGGCTGTGAAACAACCAGTAGAGAATTAACACACCCTGCCCAGCCTGAAGGGTTCCAATAACAAGCATGCCAGCAAGCCAGACCTCAGTACCCGCGCTCTCTGACTACGCATGTGTGTGAGTGAGATTTAAAACGGAAGGGAAGGGGAAGTTAAGAAAAAGGAAAGATGAAAACATAGGAGGAAAATAATAAAATTAAAGGGTATGGAAGAGAATTCCAAATAAATTTCCCTAAATCCCACATTACTTTAAATAATAAATACTTGTGAAACCACATTCATCAAAAAAGAGGGAGAAATAAGAAACAAGACAGGGAGTAAGGGGCATATTAAAAATATATATATTCTATTATATGTTATACATATAAAAAAATAAAATCCCTAATAAATGATATGGAAGTATGCCAAGGCTTCCCAAAATACTGGAAAAAGGAGAAGTTATCCTATTTCTAATGTTAAACTGCTTCTGATTTTCTATTATTATGGTCCTTATTTAAAATCTAAAATATCAGAGATAATCAGTGGTATCTGAAAGAAAACCCAATCTATAGTACAAAAAGGCTGGTACCGTAGAGGTTTCATAGCAGCAGTGAAATGGCAGGTAATGTAATACAGTTCCCTTAAAAGAGCTCAGTTCCTGACTTGAACAGTTTGGATCCCCTTGTTCCCTTCTGGGAACAGGCTGAGGAAACCAGTCTACTGGTAATTATTTCCTGCTCTTTAAACTAATGAGTCTTCTGTGTAGAGACAGAGGGGTTAATACAGACAGAAGAAGAATGCTGGGGTTGGAGGGAGGGGAAGGGATTGGGGAAAAAGAGGAACTAAGATATATCATGTACTGATACAAATCCCTCTGATGCATATGATCAATACGTATTTCTAAACTGTACTAAGAAACTTTACGAAAAAAATGAATGTTAGTTATTACACAAAGTATATTCTAAAATACATTTTCCTGTTGGCCTAAAAATTCCCATGTCAGCCCTCCTCTTTTCCTGAACCATTTCATGAGATTTACAGATTACTGCGTTTCTCAGGTTTATTCTATAAGAGCAATACAGAATTAAGGGAACTCCACATCCCACATGAAGGAGCCATTTAGGGCTTCCTTATGCCCTTCATGTGTCTTGGCCTAACATCCTAAAAAAGGTGATAGGCCTAAACCTAAAATCTAAAACTGTAAATGGAGGAAATATCCCCTAGTTGGTATGTGCAAAACATTTTTTAAACAGAACGTAAAAGGGTTGAGTCACAAAGTAAGAAACTGGAATTCAAAACTCTTTCAACCTGTCTTTCTACAAACATCACTACATGGATGAAAGTCAGCTAAAAAAATTTGGAGAAAATAGTCACAATAAATTGTCTAACAAAGGTCTTGCAAAGATAATCAGCTCAGTGTTTTAAAATGCACAAAAGGTTTAAAAAGACAAGTCACCACAGACAAATCAATGTCCAATATGCCAATGAAAAGATGGTCAAAGTCACTATTCATCACAGAAATGAGAAATGAATTCACAAGATGCCACTACCCACCCATTAGAATAATAAAAATTAAAAGGCTACTACTACCAACTTCTAGTGAGAATGGAAAGCAACTAGAATACTATGTATGGCTGGAAGAAATGAAAAATACCATAATAAAAACACTTCCAAAACAGTTTTTCACTTTTACATAATATTATTCATACATTTACCTATGGTCCAGAAATTTTACTACTAAGAAATTATCTAAAAGATATGTAACTATGCAAATACTTCTTGTATAAATGTTTCCAAAATATTTATGCATAATGGTTCCAAAGTTTAAAACAGTCCAAATAACTTAAGTGGGGCAAATAGATGGACAAATTTTGGTACATCCAAATATAGAACACTACCTAGCAATTAAAACAGCACAAAACAAAAGAAAAAAAAAAAAACAGCTACAAGCATTTCTAACAAGTGTCACTAGAAAGTTTAACAGTTTATAATATACCATCAAATCAGTAAAATTAAGATGCTAGTGCATTCAATTAATCTTATATAAATATGTAATTTAAATGACAAATGCTAAGCTTATATTCATATTGAATACATCTGCTCAATTTACTCAAGATACATTCTGGTTGCTTTGTGTCTATGCCACATCAGTTGCTAAGTACTTAGAATATAATTCCTGAGGTTAACAAGGCTTATATTCCTACAATACTTGATAATGCACATCCATCATTATTAAAGCATGCATCCACTGAATCTTTTCAATTCGGATCTTTCTCTTATTAAGCCCTACATATTTACCAAATTACTTGTTCCAAATACACATATTCACTCTGAAATAGGTTCTCCTGAGCACTGTTGTTCCTGTCTTTATGTATTTCTCTATTTCATGGTTTTAGGGACTGTTCTATACTGATAGTTTAAGAAACCAGTAAGTATTCAATCAAATCTGCTATTGACTATTTCAAATAAAATGCTAAATTGTGAATTATTCTGTGTTAATGGAATCATTAGTAGTCAAGTTCTGTCATAATGATAATGGTGAAAAGACAATGCTTCCATTTTTTTTTTTCAAAAAGAAAATATGTCCAGTGATAGTCTGCTGGACACTTTCGGTTTGTCACAGCAGATCCTCACACACCCTCTCCACCCTGTTTCCTGGTCTCCGCAGTGGACCCTGTAACAATCAAAGTGTTCCCCTGACATCTGAAGTCCACAGATGATGGAGGGCAGCAGGAGGCGCACTTTCTTCTCAAGTCTGGATTCAAGTAAATCTGTCCCCCTCCACCAAAATTCACTGAGCCTCATCAGAATGTCTTCAGAAGTTTATTTCTTATGAGTTCCCACAACTTCTCCTTCCTTCTCTGTCCTAATTAGTAGACCTATACTGACCATTCCTGGATTCTTCTGCACTTCACCTTTGTAAAAGGAAATAGAGAAATGGTTCATTCCAGGAAGGAGGCAGAAATATAGGACGTAAGCTGGAGAAACAGGTAGTGTCAGAAAAGCAGATAATACTAACATTAAAACAAAATAATTGGGTAATTCGAATGCATACAAGAGTTAAGTAGAAATCTCCTGCTAGCCAAAACCAGAATAGAAGGCTATTCTGAGTTGTAAGATGAACAAACTATATTGGCATTATAAACCCAAAGCATAAAATAGCTATTCATGAGTTCATGCCAAGAAAACAAGGAAAGAAAAAGATAGAGGAAGGAAGGGAGAGATAAAAATAAACCTCTATTAAGAAGAATTCCAAATAATTTATTCAGAAAGTAGAGTGTAAACCCCAATTCTTACATTCTGGGTGTACAGAGTAACTTTCTTCCAAAAACTACAATACAGGAAGAAGAAAAGGAAGTAACTTCATAGTGGAGAAACCTGACAACAGTCCTTCAAATCAGGTGATCAAGGCTGAACATCCGGAGTGCCAAGTCACTTTGATAGCACGTACCCCTAAGATTCTGTGACAGCACTTTAACTTCACTATCCTCCTCCAAAACAGATTAGCCAAGTCTAATCATGAGAAACAGCAGGACAGTCACAGCTGAGGGTCATTCTTTACATACGCCGTCAGTGCTCCTCAGCACAGCAAAGGTGATCAAAAACAAACAAAAAAAAGTATACGAAACTGCCACAACCAAGAGAAGTCCAAGGAGATGTGAGTACTACGTGCAACCCAGTGCCCTCCACAGCGTACTGAAACAGAAGAAGGACACTTGGGCAAAGTGAAGAGAATCTCGATGAAGCAGAAGCTTTGGTTAACCATGATGTACCAGCATTGATTTGCTGTTTGTAACAATATACCATACTAATATACAATGCTAACAGCATGGGAAAATGGATGGGTTTAGGGAAACCTGTGTACTATTCTTATAAGAAACTAAATCTAAAAGTGTATTAAAATAAAATGTACTTCTTAAAAATCTATTGTTTAAAAGAGAGATTGTTAGAGAGGAGAAAGAGAACCAGAGAGACAGACACGATCAAAGTATGATACATGCATAATGTGAAAATGTAACCCAATATCCTGTGTAATGACTATGCATTATTAAAAACAATAAATTTTCTGATCCCTTTTAGCATCTGATTGCTTAATCAAAGACAATGTGAACATAAAGAATGATATCTCATAAGACACACTTCATTCCAAGTTTAAAACTTAACAGGATATAAGTACAGAAAATATTTGCAAATTTTATCACAAGCTGAGGCATAGTAATAAATATGTCATGAGCTCAAAGTAAGTTGAAAGGGCAAAACCTGAATGGCTGAGAAAAATCTAGGAATGTGTATGATGAGTAATACAAAAATGTATTAAGATACCATCCGATGTAGAAAAAGTGGAGCATCTTCTGCATGTTGAGAGAAATCTAAATCTAAACCGAGACCCTGAGCTGACTGCAGTAGTTCCCAGCACGTGCCACCTGCCTCACTAACCAGCAGACAGGACAGAAAGCCGGCTCCCTGCAACACAGGGCTGTGGAGAGTCAGCACTCGCACACCGGTCGTACGCACAGGAAGGAAGCAGACGAGAACATGAGCAGCAGGGCGGCATGTGTCTGAATTCCTTGACAGACAAACCTCACATGAGAGACACACTGCAAAAACAGTTTGAAACTAATTCCCAGGAACCTGCTTGCAGCAATATTTGAAATAAATTAGAAGAATAAACCGATCCAAAATGGTCACTGTGGAGAAATGAGAGGTCAAAGAACGTTTCTAACAATGTCACTTTCAACTTGAGACGGATTTGCCTTCAATCCAATAAAATCTTGCAGCCGCCCTTTCAGAGACCTCAGGAAGAGTATTGATAAGACATTGTGCTGCTAAAGGATTTTCTTACTATTTTGCTTACAACAGTGATGGCAAAATTATAAGGCTTCAGACTTCATTAAACCTTATTCCGTGTTCATCTTTAGAATAATGTAAAAGTTTTACATGAGCTTAAAAGGAACAAGCAAATGGAACAAAACATCAAAATTGCAATCATTTTAATTCAGTGAACCCACAACCCTAATTCAGAATACTAGGATTAGTTCCAGAGTGAAAAACAAAATACCACTTGTGTTAAAAACATCAGCTCTATTTCTCCAACTCCCAATCACCATCTTTTATTCACTAAGCTTACTTTGTAAAAGCTTTAAATTTCTCTCCTGCCTCTTAATTGATAAGTTTAATTTTTTAATAAATTGTACTTCATGATTAGTCTCAGATGTGTACTGAAAATTGCAGTGATATAATGGAGGAAGAATATGAAGCATGAGATCAGAAACTGGAGATCTAGTGATGGATCTACATTTTAAACATGGAGATAATTTTGGTCAGGCCATTAAAACTGGAAATGATAAAAATTTCAAGCAAAATACTCTGCTACAAATGTCATTCCACTCCTATGTCTGATGTCGACTTTTCCCTAAATCACCTCTTTGCAAAAGTAAGAAACCCTCAAATACTGTGCATGAGGGCCTGAAAAGATGAATTGAGAAACACAGCATCCTTATGGAAGCCTACAAGAGGTGCCTACGTGCGTCTGGGCAGGGCAGGACGGTACTAGTGGCTGCTTACCGTCGGTTCTTCATTGATGAGAAAGCTGGTCTCTCTGCTACTCAGGCTCTGTTAATGGCACCAGAGGAAGGAAATAATTCTGTTAATAACAGTGCAAGTAAAGTAACTAGAACAAGTAAGTTTCCATAACAAAAATATTCGAGGTTCTCCAAGCCAAACTATTCAACCTGGGCCTGTGAAACACATTAACGTGTGCAAAATTGTATGCATGTGTGTACACATGTAGGTGTAAAAATCTACATGAGCCTGTGTGGAGATTGACAAGGTACTTAAGTGAGAATAAAAATTGGGAGTTCACATTATTAATCAATAGAATAGTCTGTGACACAAGAGATGGGTAAAAACTACTACAGTAACTACTACAATGCAGAGAAATAAAAGAAAAATATTGAATTCTGATCAAGACCAATGAAGAAAAGTGGACTTAAGCTATGCTGTGCCTTTAAATGCTGGTTTGGAATTATGAAAATGAAGACCTCGGTAAAGGCATCATCAAGGACTCTTCAGAATTCCCACAATTATAACCCAAGAGAAAAATCCACAGATGGCTATTAATACATAGAATTCATTTGGAATGACAGCAGTGAGACACTTTCCTCAATGGGTGGAGTTTTCCAATCCTCAGGTTACACAGTGACTTGCTCCTGAGGTCACACCTACTCACTCATCAGCAGTCCCTGGGGACGGCAGAATGTCACAGAGACACCACAGCGAACAGAATTAACCTGAAACTCCTCTCCAGACTGAGAATTTACTTATTAGGTTCTTGGAAAAATCTCAAGCATAGTCACACTGTGATTAGGTGATGCTGGATAAATCAGGTTTGAAAACAAAAGACAGAAAATTTGCTATGGATACAGTTATTAAAATACTTCTGGGCATCATAAGCATAGCTAAATGCTACAAAGAAGCAGTAGTAGTGTTCCTGAGAATGAAGAGAGAATTTTCATACTACTTCATATGGTGTAAGTTATTACACAAAAAGTTGAAAATAATCTACAGCATTAAAGGGGGAAGAGTTGTGGAGGACTGAGAATCTATGAATAAACACATGTTCAAATCCTCCTTCCCTTACACATCCTTCTGTCTTCTGAGGAACCTTCAGTAAGTTCCCTTAACTCACCTAAGAATATCAGCTATCACATTTGAAGTATGTCAGTTCTGAAATAGAAGACTCTAAAAATAAACTGTGCAAAGATATTTCCACCATTAAAACAATAAACCTAGGACACTTTCCTTTGGTAGTAATGCCTCGTAATGTTTTTTATGTTATCCTACAGAAAGAGCAGTTGCCTTGCTTATAACATGGCATAAGGAAAGAATACAACAAATAGTCCCAAAGCAAACCCATTGGTAACTTTACACTCTCTCACTTCAGTAAAAATATCTTTGCTGTAATTTCCAATCACACCTTGTGGTTATGTATTGAGTGTGCCAAGCATAAAATCAAATTATCCAGGTTTCTTCTCCTTTTGGCAACAATTTCATTGTCTCACATTTCACTACCCTGCACCAGGTAAGAGGAAGATGCCTACGTTTCCCTCAACCGTGTCCACGGCTCTCATGTGCCCGCTGTTCCCTTCCTGACTGCAGCCCAGAAAGAAGCTAATGAGACACTCAGAATGGAATGAAATGAGGACACGGATGAGGGACACAGACTCGTTCTAGCAGTAACATGTAGTAATCTTAGAGGATCTATGAATCATCCCAGAAACTGAGGACTTCTCCTGACTACTGTGCACACAGGTAGCAGTATTTGTACCGTGAGATTCAAACGTAAGTACTTCTGTATATACTGGGTGTATACTGTATACACTGGGTTCCTTTGGTATTATTTATATTTATAACATATAACATGATGTTACATAGCAAAGCAGTTACTGTAATAGAACATTAATATATCCATCATCTTACATAGCTGCTTAGGCCTTCCCTTTGGCCCACTGAATGATGAAAGTAGCTGTAACCTATTAACTTAGCAGGTATCCAGAATAAAACACATATGATTATTGACGACATTGCACTTACCTGTATGTACAACACCAAAAAACATGCTGAATTGTTAGATACATTTTTCTGCATGAATTGAGGTTTTATATAATTACTCTGTTCTGTTACTGTGACATAACACACTGATTTAGACATGCTAGATCAGTCTTGCATGCCATGGGAAAACCCCAGTTGGTCATAAAATATTTTTTGGTATCCTGTTGAATTTGCTTCTCTCATAGCCTGCAGAAGATCACATGGTATTGGCCTGTATTTTTCTCTGCAGTGATAGCATCCTCTGGGCAAGCACTCTACCACTGACATAAATCCACAGTCCTTCTCTGCAGTGATAGCATTGTAAAATGTACTTGGAAATTTTCTCTTTATTGCTAATTTTTCAATACATTTAAGAAACACTAGTAATAATTCTGTTTTGAACATTTAATAAAATTAAGCCATGAAGCCATCTGATCCTGGGCATTTCTTTCTTCGAAGACTTTTAGTTAATCCTTCAATCTATGTATCTTTTATTTGTCTATTAAGAGATCTTTTTTTCTGGTTAAATCTTGGTAAGCTACATAAATATATAAAGCAAATATGAATAGACATGAAGGAACAGTCATACAATAATAGTACAGAACTTTAGCACATCTCTTTCAGTAATGAACAGATTAGACAGAAAACTAACAAATAAAAATTATAATTTAACTTCCCTTATATCAAACAGATCTAATGTATGTAAAAATTTCCATCTGGCAGTAACAAAACATGGATTCTTTAATGCACATGGAAAATTCTCCAGGGTAGACCAAATTGTTAGCCCATAAATTTCTGAAGGCTGAAATCATATCTGTTATCATTTGTAACCCAAAGAGTATGAATTTATAAATCAATAATGATGATGTTTGGAAAAATGATAAACACCTGGAAATTGAACAAGCTTATTGAACAATCCACAGATCAAAAGTGGGATCAAAAGGAAATAAAAACATCTTGAAACAAATAGCAACAGAAACAAAGCACATCAAAACCTTTGAGAGGCAACAAACACTGTGCAAAAAGAAAACTTTAAAGCAATAGGTGCCTGCTTTACAAAAGAAGAAAAAAGGTCACAAATAAGTAGTCTCTAACATTACATTTAATAGAGCTGGATAAATGAATGAAAAAAATTACTAGAGGGAAGGAAATAATAAAGATCAGGACAAAAATACATTAAATGCAGAAAGCAAAAATAGGAAAAGATCAGGAAAGCTAAGGTTCTTTGATAAAAAATAAAATCAACAAATGGTGAGAGAGAGAGAGAGAGAGAGACAGAGAGAGAGAGACAGAAGAGAGAGAGAGAGAGAGAGAGAGAGAGAGAGACAGAGAGACAGAGAGACAGAGAGTCAAATAAAATAAAAACAAAAGTGAATATATTTTAAAACAAAAATGGGAGGCCAGGGATATAGCTGAGGGGCACAGTGCTTGCCTGACAAGCATGAGGTCCTGAGTTTGATTCCAAGTACCAAAAAACAAACAAACAAAAATGATCATAATGGAATATTAAAAAAACTATTCACCAACAAATCAGATAATGTAGAAGAAATGAATGAACTTTAGAAAAATGTAACTGGTAGAACGAATCAGAGGAACAAAAAACTTTAACAGACTAATAAAACTTAGTTAAAGATAGTGGCACATGGCAGTGTGCATATATAATTCCGGCTCCCAGGGAAGCTGAGACAGGAAGATCACAGGAATGAGCCCAGTATGGGCATTTTAGTAACTCAGTGCGACTCTGCTTCCAAAGAAATTTGAAAACTAACTACAGATGTATAGTTCAGTGTAACAGCCTTGGGCTTAATCCCCGGGCTGGGGGAAGGGGATAAGAGACTGAAGAATGGATAGTCCAGCAGAAAGGACTGTGGGTTTATGTCAGCAGTAGAGTGCTTGCCCAGAACATGCAAAGTGCTGGGTCAATTCTCAGCACACACACACACACACACACACACACACACACACACACACACACAAAATATAGAAATTAAATTAAATTAATCAATAGAAATACCAACACAGAAAAGCCCAGCAGCAAGATGGCTTCACAGCTCAACTTTACATAAAGATTCTTAAAATAGCAATTGTAACCCAATACCTCAATGAGTATTTTTAAAAAACAGCTATTGAGTAATTATTAGCATTTTGCGAGGTGATTCTGTTATGGGGGAAGTCAGCTTAAAATATCTGTATTTAGAAGTTATTATTATAATTCTTAACACGTTAATTTTACCAGCTAAAGAGATTCACTGTATTTATATACATTCACACATTGCATTCTTCAAGAAATAATACTATGAACTGATTAAGAGAGCAAACTCCGGAAGCAGATGGTCTGTGAATCTCAGCTCCTAAACTTAGTAGATATAGTAACAAACTGATAGAGTTTCATTTTATAGACTCCTCACCTTTTTCTTCGGTTCTGTAAAGCTAATTAGATTTGTAATCCTGACCGTGTTAACCTCCTTCTATGACGACTTCCACACAGCGACATTAAGACAGAATCTCTCAAAAAATACTGGCTTTTGAAGATTAATTTTTACTTTGCAGTCCAAAGACTGCATGACGGATTCACTATCTTCATCCTCCAGTGACAGAACCTAGTGAGCCCCTAATATAGATCATCTATGTCCTCATCACACTTTCTCTTTTAGAATTTCTCTCTTTAGCTGAAGGGATTCTACTTTATTAATCTCTTAAAAAATAGTTTTTTGTTTCAGTGATTTTCTCTAATAATGTCTTAGCTCTCAATTCATTGATTTCCACGCTTATGTTTATTTCCCTCCTAATTTCTTTGCCTTTCTGTTGCCCCACTTCCTCGAGATGGAAGCTGATCACTGATTTCAGACTTTCCCTCATTACTAACTTTAAGATTTTATGCTACAAATTTTCCTAGCAAAAATGCTTCGGCTCCACCTCCCAAACATGGACCTGTTGTATTTTACATTTCATTCAGTTCACTTGTATTTCTCTTTGTTCTTCCTTTGAAAATTTCTTCCATGCTTGGGTTATTTGAAAACAACTGTTGAGTTTCCCATCGTTGGAGAGTTCACGGACTGAGTCCTGACTTGATCCACTGAGATCAAAGAATTCGCCCATTCACAATTCTTACGTTTCCTGAGGTTTGTTTTATAACTCGCAGTGTAGTCTATATTGGTGTTTCAGGAACATCCATTGTTGTCATTTTTTATTTATTTCCTGTTAAATATTTCCCTACATATGCTGAAGACCATACCAGACAACGCTCAAGTTGTTTTGCTTCAGTTAAAAAACAGTTCAAAAATCTCAATCAGAAAAAAAAAAAAAAAAAAAAAAAAAAAAAGTGATGAATACTACACCCTTACTGTTGAACGTGTTGAAAGTAGACTAGGAAGCCGGGCAGGAGAAAGAGAAGGGAAGGGGAGGGGAGGGGAGGGAAGAGAAGGGAGGGAAGGGGAGGGGAGGGACAGGGGGAGGGGAGGGACAGGGGGAGGGGAGGGACAGAGAAAGGGGAGCAGGAGCACTGGATCGAAACGAGATATGATACACACCTGTATGAAAATCCATGTATACAAACATATCAGCCTTAGCATATGATCACAGCACCATTTCAAATTACTGAACCAGAGTTTAAAGAAATTACAGGATACAAAGGATTTTTTTAAAGCTAGACTTCCCACATAACAACTGCTTTAGAAAGACAATTGCCTGCCATTGTTACACAATATTCTTGGGGTCTTTCCGGAAGCAAAACTCCTTTGGTGTTCACTGCATTGAGGAGAAGGCACTGGAAATTTTTAAATAGTGCTAGCATGCTCTGCTCTGGATTTCACTAGGGTAGCATCTGAAGACTTGTCTTTCTTCAGGCTTTATGACTTCTGATTTAAGAATTTCTACTGCTATTGTATTTAGTTTTGCTGTAATATTAAGTTTCTGTTTCTCTCTCTCACTGTTTTCAAAATTGTTTCTAGTCTGGTTTTTAGAACCTGTCCCCTCCTAGGTTTCTTCCTGAAAAAGGTAAAAAATCACACATAGGGATGCACTCAGTTCCGTGATTCTAGCACCACAATTCATTCGATCTTGCAACTGTCCTATTTGTCCATCAACAGATGAATTAACACAGAAAACATGGTATTTGGACATAGTGGAGTACTACTCTGCCATAAAGAAAGATAAATTTGAGGCTGGAAAATTGATACGTTTTGGGATCATAATGTTAAGCTCAATGTCATGTAATTTCTGTTATTTGAGAAATCCACAATATAAATAAAGGAAATAAAAATAAATAAATCTAAACAAATAAATCAATCAAAAACAGAAAATGATAGAAAATAGATACAGATATATAGATTTTTTTTTTTTGTAAAAAATGAAGAGGACCAAAAGATGGAGAGAGGGAGGAGAGGAAGGGAAAGGATAAAAAGTGTTGAGATGTGTTTTATATGTGTACCAGCTCTCAGCAATGAAGATAATCATTACACTCTGCAAACAGACACTAATAAAAGTTTTTTAAAAAGAAAAAAAAATTAAGATTTAGTCTGATGAATGTGAAATTCTTTGGGTTTACACCATTGTGGTTGCTTCTGGTCTTTGAATCTGCAGGTGTGTGGGAGATTTCCAGCTACGATTTCTCCACACTGGCAGCTTGCATCTCTTTAGCCTCTCTTGGGGCGCCCTGGGCACAAATGCTAGACCATTTTTTTTTTGTCTTTTTCCTTTTTATCGGTACCGGGGATCGAACTCACGACTGCCTGCTTTCAAGGCAGGCGCTTATGCCGCTGAGCTAAACCCCCAGCCCCCAACAAATGCTAGACCTTTTATATAGCGCCATGCCTCTCTCAGGCTCTGCACTCTTTTCTTTCCCAGTCCATGTTTTCTGTGATGTCCATTCCATTCTCCATCTTGAAATGCAAGGATTCTTTCTTCTATCTTCTAAATCCTGCCCTTGAGATTTTCCGGTTTCTACAGTTCTTTTCCGTGCTATAATTTCAGTCATTTGTCACCTCTCCTTTTGCTGCCATCTTAGCATGGGCAGCTCTGACTTCCTTCTCCCATTCTCCATGAGACCCAGGAAGTACAAGTCGTTTTTCACAGAAGCATGGATTTGGGGGGCATAATGCTTTGACATTGCTCGCCTTACTTAAATCTGAACCCCACTCTCTGGGGAGGTGAGCAGGGTGGTATCTCAATCTGGAGAACTGTACTTTTAAATCTTAGGCAAATAAAATCACCTCTGGTTGAAACAAGGCTGCATGTTTACAAGCTGAAAGCCCCAGATGGATGCCAAAACTGAGAACACTCAAGCCTCTACCACAGAACAGTGTGGTATTTCCACATAAATGGCACATTATCTTCTGTAAACTTGGAATTACTTTTGGGCTAATTTTAATATGTAACATAATGTAAATGCTGTATATATTGCAATACTGCATTATGCAGGAATAACCATAAAAAAAAAAGTACAGTAGAGATATTCCATAAAGACGCAATTTTCTGAATATTTTTGATCCCAGCTGATAGAAGCCACAGACAGGGGACCCACAGATAGAGAGGGCCAGCCACATTAAAATTTGTTATTTACTGTTTTATTTAATGTATTTCTTTTCTGTTAGATGCAGGAACCCTGGCATAGTTGCTGATAAGAATACACCACGCACTAATAACTGTATTATTAATTCCATCACATCGAACTTCAATTATCTCTTGCCAAGGGTTTGGCTGGACACTGCTGTCTTGCATATGAAAGCCCAGCCTACCTGAGCTTACTTCACAAGAGCCCTTAAAAAATTTAAACCTATTTTATTCTATAATAACATCGAGAAATGTGTAATAATAAATGTGCATAAAGCATAGTATTTGCTTTACTTTTTTAAAAACGAATAGGTGAGAAGACAAAACAGACCCAATATACTATGAGCAAACAAGCGAAGGTTTAATTGCTCCTGTAAAGTGCATTGCTTTCCTTGCCTTCGTTTTTTTGTTTGTCACTTACAGGCAGCCGACACAAGCGTATTTAACTTACCTCACTCATTTGGAGGGTATAGGCAGTGTCTTCACTATTACTTCTCACTAGATGAAATTAGAAAAAGAAACAATGTTATATTGGCCAACTGATCGGACTCTGAAAATCTATGTTAGGAGAAAATAGGAAGTTGATAAGCAAAACAAAAAATAGTGGGAGAAAACATGCAAGACTCCCTAGAGCTAATCGTTTTGAACAGCCTCCAAAAATCACCTCACTAAGGACTGTCTGTACTCTAGGAGAAAGGCATAAATACCGTTGTGTAGGATACATTCCCATCCACTAGGCAGGAAATTAAATCTGACCAATACGGCTCACAGCAAAATTACTGTGGTCACGTTCACTGTACCTCCTCACCTGCACCTGGTGAGAGTTAATATTCTCTTCATTCATCTCCCTGACCTGAAGCAGACCAGATGGGAGAAAAACACTGCTAGAGCATGACCCATTTCTGAGGAGGCCAAATGACTTTCCCCACACAGGCATCACACAGGTGTCTGTGTAAGGCAAGTACAGTGTAGCCACATGTTATACAGCACAGTACATGGAGTATATGCAATACAGTTATGTGTTCAGTCATTTGGATTGAAATATATGTTCAAGGAAGTTTCCAATGCTTAAAACATGTGCCACTGAGAATTCTATTTGTTTATTCTCTAGGCTCTCCAACTTGGGAAAACACTGGGAAGTATTTCCCCACTTAAAACTATCCTACATAACAATTTGCTAGAGGAGGGAAAATACCACAGTAGGAATACAATGAAATGTTTCTCCTACTCAAAGACCATCCATAATAACTATAATTTTTGAAGAGTTACTATAGATTCTAAAAGTATAGTAAATATAAATATCCTATCTGTGTACATTTTTCACAACCCAAGAAACACAATTTATTTCATAAAACAACATTAAATCTGTTAAATGAAATGAATTGAAACCCAAAAACAGAACTCTTTTCACAGATGACCCAAATCACTAGTGCTTAGAAACAACCACAAAAAGAGTGCATTTAACACCATATGACATTTTAAGAGAAACAGACCACAGTTACTTAATTTTATGAAATATATTGTTATAACCGTTCTATTTTATTAATCTTGGGTATCAATCTCTTACTGTATGTATTTATAAATTAAACAATTTCATTGGTGTGACATAAGAAACAAAATATAAGTTGTGTAAGATGTGATACCATTCACAGTTTTAGGAATTCACTGGGGACCATTGATAACAAATTTGATGCAATAATGTGCTGCAGAAACCAAAACAAAATATTCCCCAACCTACTGTGCAAGCCTATGACATGAATTCAGACCTCTCCTCAACCCTACAAATGGCAGAAGGTCAATCAGCGTTTTAGCACTGAGTGAGATATGCTTGTACTTCACACAATAAATGTCAAACCCCTGTTGATGTTAATAGCAGAATTCGCTCTGCTCCTTATTAATTTTTAAAACTGTTGTGAATTCTCTGTGCTAACTTTCAGAGATCAGAATAAAGATGAAATAATTCATTTTATACTCAGAGCACTTCCTTGCAAGAGCTGCTCTCAAACAGTTAATAGTTATTTTTACCAAAGTATGAAAACTAACCCACTGCAACCTTATCCCAACTTTTCTGAACGCAGTCTTTCTCATGTAAAACACAGAGACACTCAAGAACACGTGCCAACTGCACGTGTGAAACAGTGCCCTGCTGAAAGCAGTTCTCCCAGAATGCAATCTTGCTGGGGAACTCCAAACTCTGCAAGGTCCAGACCCTCTCTCACGGGGTTTGTGTATGAAATGGACATTGACCTAACACAGCCTGTACTGTGACTCTGCACAGAGTGAGGTGCACTTTGACTCTGTCCCCTAATGGTTCACATGATTTAAGCTTATTTTTCCTTGAGGACAGAGATTGTCACTTTTTTTTTTTTTTTTTTTTTTTTTTTTTTGTCTTCTTGAGACAAGCTCTCATTATGCAGTTCAGGATGGCCTTGGGCTCACTTTGTAGCCCAGGCTGGTGTCAAACTTGCAACAATTCTCCAGCCTTAGCCTCCCAAGTCCTGGGATTACAGTAGTAAGATTGTCACTATTATATCAAGAATAGTGCATCAATAGTGCATAATAGTATTAACTATAGAAGAATCAAGTAAATACAGGCCCAAAGCTAGGTTTATACTGAACTTTATAACCCTATTTTCACAAAGAGAAAGTTAAAAAATTACAAGCACTATCTCTTGCTTCCTCCAATAATTTTTGTTTCATTTAACATAAAACAAATAGGCAAAACCTTTTTTTCAAAGATTGTGTGAACTTGTTATCACACACTTAACTGAGGACCTGGAAAAGAGACAACATTCAGATTTTCTCCCATCATGACTACTGTAGTCTTCTTCTTACACCGTCACGTTTACACTTTCTGCTTTTTCCAGAACGAACAACCATTTTCTTCTGAGCTAACTCTTGCTTATAGTTCACATTACATTAGTTAAGACATTCTGCTTTCAGGTCTTGCTGAACACTGTCCAGGACACTCATGCAATATTATCAGACACACACTCACACTTGCAGAATATAAAGATGAATTAAATACATACAAATCACCAAGCCTCTCTCAAAATCGGCTTGTCTGAATAGGCGGATCTGAAGCCAGTGACTCCAAGGCCGCTTCTTGGTACTTTCCGACTTTCTCTAAAAGGAATGTAAATGATTGTACCGCTTTGCAGACTGGAAACCAGAAGTTATGAAGGCTTGCCACTGATCACGGTGGAGAATCAGCAATGTGTGTTAAAAAGTAAAGTCATCCCACAGCCTGAGCTCTGAGTTTTCACTGAAAGCACATTACTAAGAATATACTATGCAGAGAACCCAAAACCCAAAAATAGCCCTTGCCTTTACCCAATGTTCTTCTCAGTTTACACGTGTACCAGTAGCACAAAATAAAATACAGTCAGGAGCTCACAGACCAACATTTCTGTCAACAACAGACCACATACAATACATTATTTCCAACAGACTGTAATACAGCCTGGGTATATAGTAGGCTCTATCACCTAGCTCTGTGAAAGTAATAATGAAATCACTAAACGTTTAAGATATCTTGTTGGCAAAGTGCTGACAAATGCATTCACAAATATTTGCATTATTGAAAGGCAGGTGGCTTCATTAAGTACATAGGAACATAGTGTGGTAGTAAAAACGTCCACAACTTTATATTCAACTTTTAAACTGCTTTTCCAGTGCTAAAATCCTACACTGTCTTTTCAGTCCTGACTTTTAAGGTAACTAAAAGAAAGAAAATGAGAAAGTCAGAATTTCCTGATAGTGTCAGCCAGTCAAGACTCCAACACTGACAAGTTACTAGGAGTTCATAGCAATTTAAGAGTCTATACCCTTGAGTTTAGAATTGCATGCTAAGGGTCAGCACACAGTAGGCAAATGTTCAACTGGAGATCACTGATACTTCCTGTTTTTCACTGTGACTGAACAGACTCAGAGAAAATGCAAAAAAAATCCCAGAAACATCTCATTAAGTATTATTTATCAAATGCAAGATGTTAATTTTCTCTATAGAAACAAATCTCATTTACATCAATACACTCTTTCATGTTTCATCTCCAAAGGTGATTTAGGAAAAATGTAAGACTGAATTTTACTTGTATGAGTGATTCACTTGTTATGCATGCCAATATGCAGAAGTGAAAGTAGCTCTAAGATCGATATTATGAGACCTAGACATGTTTAGCCTCCTTTGGCCAGCATTTCTGTACTTAGAATTTGTGTCAATTAAGTTTCAGAGGGGAAAAAAAGCATATCTGAAAGTGAGCTTCCAACCCTGGATGGTCGATGTTAAGACACTTGTCTTCATTCTGATGAACATTCCCAGAACTTTGTGACAGAGATGTAGACAAGAGAAGCAAAACCAACTCAGTAATATAACTGACATTTGGGTCCCAGTCTAGTAAAGTAGATGCCTTTTGATTGGCCTGATCCACTCTGCTGCTTGGCCCCTGTTCTCACTAGCAACACATCACTCTGCTGCTTGAGTTCTGAGTCCAGGAAAAGATACGGACACAGAAATTTGGACAGAATACAGTAAGCAGGCTCAACTGTTAAATATGTTACTCCTCATCCAGAAACTCAGCCTCATCCACCAGGAGAAGAATAAGTAAACTGCAGAAGACTTTGCCAAGAAAACAAAAAGTGAAATTTTGAGAAAAGGTCTAGAGCCATTTGGGGATGGATTTGTGCTGTTTTTGTGACCTCATACTTAGGTCAGATTCATTTTAAGTATAGATTCTGGTAAGTAAAGACATCTGAAGGCTCAATTATATCATATTTCAAACAACTGAAAGAAGATAATTGTTAGCTTCTAATGCTATGCTGAATTTTTTTTTTATTTCAAAGAGAAAAACCAAAGAAATCAAGAGGCAAGCAAACATACATTTTTCTTCATTGTATAAGGAACATGTCCATCTCTACTCTCTTCAACGAAGAATAAACTTTTAAAACACACATAGTTGTATCTCAGAAAAACTAGTTATAAGGAAACCTTGAACGCTTTAAATGGAAAAATAAATTAGACCTTCAGATTACTAAAAGAATATAAAGGATGTCTCAGCAAAGGCCAAAATTATCAAGAAAATATTGAACAAAACTTCTGATTATGTAAATCTGAAAGTTGTTTCCCCTTTTTTGCACTCCTGAACAACTCATTTTCCCCAGCAAATGCATTTATTTCATTCTTTTTCAGAGCCATTTATCATAGCTTAAAGTTTTCAAGGGCTTTATTTTCTCCCATCTTCAAATTATTCTTATTTACAAAGGGCGGAGGGGAACTTCAAGTGTCACCATGTAGAACAAAAGAACAAAGAAAACAAGAATGGAAGAAGATACCTGGAACCTGTAACAAGAGGACTTGTACCAAGAATATATAACGAAAGCCAACAAAACAGTAATGAAAATGTGATTCGATTTTTATTTGTATTTATTTTTTATTGTTTATTTGGTTCTGGGGACTGCACTCACAACCTCACGCTTGCCAGCAGGCATTTACATCACTGAGCTAAATCCCTGACCCGTATAACTTAATTTTTTAAACAAAGAGTTTGAAGATGCTTCTCAAATATATATGGCAATAAACATACAAAATATTCAACACATAATTCATCAGGAAAATAAAAGGTCAAAATCACATTGAGATACCACTTTGTAACCACATGTCTGAAATAAAGACAAACAATAGCAAGTGTTACTGAGAATGAGGAGAAACTAGAATGTTTTCACACTCCTGGAGAAAATGTGAAATGTTGTGGACACTTGGTAATCAGTTTGGTTGTGTCTCAAAATGCCCAGTACTGATATACTACCTGATCCTGCAATTCTCCGCCTGCTATATATGCAAGATAAGGGAAACATTCAGACACAAACTTGGAGATGAATATTCATAGCACTATTACTGGTAGTGCCAAACAAGGAAAATCACTCCAAAGCCCGTCTGAGGGTAGATACGGTATACCTCTACAGTGGGATGTTCCTCTGTATGTCAGAAAGGGGCTGTGAACTGAGGCAGGAATGAAGTTCGAAGGCATGCCTAGTGACAGAAGCCACTGACAGTGCAGCACAGAGTGTGTGATCCGGCTTACCACGTATCACCTGGCATGTGGATGCGCGAAGCTAGGGCCACAGGAAGCAGAGGGGAGGCTGACTAAAGTCGGGGTGGGGGAAGATGGCACAGGAGGTTTCTACTTGGATCTGTGATGCTGTCCTGAAATCACTTTACGATGTCACAAAACTGCAAACGTAGTAAAGACCATTGATCTTTACACTATGAATGAGTACATTTTCTGATACATAGAACACATCTCAATACAGCTGTTTTCAAAAGGGGGCAAAGGAGGGACACATTAGTGCGCTCCATTCCTCGGTCCACTTGAAGACTCAATAGTAAATGGTAAGTTCAAGCTCGCCTCTTTTACTAGTTTAAAAACCTGCCAGAGGATTTAGCTCAGCGGCATAAGCACCTGCATAGTAAGCCAGTTCGATCCCTGGTTAAAAAAAAAAAAAAAAGACGTATCTAGTTTAAAAACCTGTCTTCGGGTTCTGCTCCAATACTAAACACAGCATGAAAATACTGGCATTGAGGGAACAGATAGCAGCTGCAGAAAATAAAATGCACGCGCTTTTAGGAAAATGAGTTAATGACACAGACCCGCAGAACAGGGCTTTGTGCAGAGACCTTCGCGGGACCGCCGCAGCGCTGAGGCTTCCGTGCCGCGAGCCCGAGAGCCGAGGACCTCGGTCCGTCCTCCCGCGGGAAGGACCCCGCAGCGGGAGTCATCCGCAGGGCGAGGCCGAGGCCGAGGCCGAGGCGGGCGGTGACCCGGGCCGGCTTCCCGGGCGCGCAGCCTGGCTCCTCCTCGGAGGGCGGCCCGGCCCGGCGTCCCCCGGAGCCCGGTCGCAGCAGCGGGTCCCGGCTGCTCTCCCGCCCGGCCCGGCCCCGCGCCTCACCCGCCTGCCCGCACCTGTCCCCCAACCCCGGCCCCGTCCGGCCCTCGCCCCACCCGCCTCTCCTACCGTCCTCCTCCCGCTCCAGCTCCATCGCCTCCGGTTCGCCCATCCTCGCCGCGCAGCCTGCGCGCGGACGCCCGGGACGCAGCGGCCACACGGCCGGGGGCAGGGAGCGCAGCGGCCACACGGCCGGGGCAGGCGGGGCCGGCTGCCTGCGCAGTCCTCCTCGGCGTCCGCGGGCTTTGCAGCCGGGCCTCCCCTAACCCTCGCGACCCGCCCGCGCCACCGCCCTCCCCGGCCGGCCCCGGCAGCTGCTCCGCTCCCAGCTCCTGCGGGAACCTGAGGGGCTGGGACCCTGCTCCCCCGACCCCGGCTCCTCCTCCCGGGACCCGCCTCCCCGGACCCCGTCTCCGCCCTCCTGGACCCGCAGCCCCTCAGGCGTCCTGGTGGGACCCCCGGGGGACCAGGCACAGGCCAACCCCGCCCCCATGCCAGCCCCGCCCACGGCCACGCCCCCTGTTGGGGACCACTCCCTCCCAGGGAATCCGCTCCAGGCCTCGGAGACCCCTGCCCCAAAGCCATGTTGGTGAGTCTCCCAGGTTCCCGCGCACCCGTGCCTACCCGCCACCTTCAGAGAAGCCACCTGCTGCCCTGTGCCCAGCGAGGTCTCTGCAGCTGGGGGTGAGGCCCCGTCTGTGGTCAGCTGGACTCAGCCTCTGCTCCTCACAGCCTGGGGCGCCGGTACCCCCACTCCTGGGGTTGTGAGAGGACAGTGAGGGCCTCACCCCAAGCCGGGGGGCTCTGCAGCCTGCAGGGGTCGCAGGGACCTGAGGGGGGCTCAACCTGCAGCAAGGACCCTCTGAGTCGGGGCTGGACTTGGGGACCTAGGAGAGGAGAAGAGAAGCAAGCGCGAGTGTCCAAAGGCCGGAGACCAGGAGGACACCCCATCCCCGGGAGATCGCCGGGGAGGCTGGAGAGCAGGGTCTGGGCCAAGTGGGCTCCTGGAGGGTCAGCCCAGGGAAACTGCCCGCCTCCACTGCTTTGTGTTCTCCTCCCACTCTACTGACACCTTAGCACCGAGTCACCTTTGTTGTTAAAGTTAAAAGATTTATAAACCAAAAAGGAATGAAAAGTATCATACCGAAGTTTAAAAGAAAATAATAGGAGATGGACCCTGGTTAGTCCACCGAGTTATTGTTCTCTTCAATTCACATTACAAGGTATAGGCATGGAAAGAATGCTCGAACCATGGAACGCTGAAAGCACAGCCTTTGCCATGAGGGCACTTGAGGAAATGGGCCTAGAAGTACTCTGGTGCTGGTCATGGTTTACTGCGGAGCTGGAATATTTATTTATTTATTTATTATTTATTGTGCAAATCTGGGGATGGAAGCAAGGACCTTCGTATGTAGCTACACATCCAGTCCTTTCTCAAATTTGTATTTTAAGAGGTGGTGTTGCTAAATCACTAAATTACCCAGACTGGTCAGAAATTTCAGTCCTTCCTCCACCTCCCAGAGGTGCTGGATTCACAGGCATGTGTGTGTCCGCTTGGGATCACACCGTCATCATCATCGTTGTCATCATCATCATCATCATTATGGTCATCAT